ATGGCGAGGTACGCAGCAGCCACCGCATTAGCGCGGGTCCCGTGCGCCAGTGACCACTGCCGTGGCACTGGTGTAACCGTGTACCACTGACGAAGGCTTGTAGTCGTCTTGGGTTTCTCCCGATATCCTCTTCTCTGAATTTCATGTTTTTCGCTTGCATGCGTTACGTGGCGCACAGTATGATGCATTGTGACGTGAACGCTGTTTTGGGCAATGCAACCTCTTGCATGTAACGCGGCAAATAAATCCTGAAGCCGTCCGATTCGTGTTTTACGTGCGATGATAAATATACGGCAGAGTCCATTAACAGACGCTGACGGCGTGATGTGTAAACACCCTGACGGTATTTCCAGCCGATGTGAAAGCTGTTGACTCGTCGACTCCGAAGAGGGAAGATGAAAATGGCTGGGGTGGAAGCCACCATTTGGTGATTTACTGTCCTATCTTCTTTTGCGAAGCCACGGGAGAAAACTCCCCGGACACTCTTAACGTATTGAGAGCCCGATGGGACCAAACGCAGCGCCAGGGCTCAGGGGAACGAAAGACGAGATCATTGTGTTCTCTTATTGGCTGGGGACAGAAAGCTTTTTGTGACTTGCGAAGGGTCACCGAACTCGTCACCTCTCCACGTGATCCCACCGTAAGCACTGACATGTGGAAAGAGAACATCTATATAACTATTAGAAGCGCTGGCCATATCATGGCTCCTTTATCATGCTTGCACAGGTTCCGTCACTGTTATTATGAACTGTTGCTATGTTACACTGTTATCATGAACAAGTCTGTCTCAGCTGAGTGGTTGAATCCCGTTTACATACACAACGCTCCACGCCGTCAGCAGATCACCTGGCTCCAGGGGCCGGCCAGTGCTGCTGCCCGCATCGCTCGTGTTGTCCTGCCCTCCGATCTCAGCGCTCGGTGAGCGGACCCCACTGAGTGCGGCGGCCCGGCCGGAAGGGGCCAGTCTCGGTCGCAGTCAGCGGCTGTCCGGCGTCGGCGCGACCAATCGATGCGACATGCCGCCCTCAAGCGGCGCCGGTCATGCTAACCGCGAGATTAAAAATGGAGCGCGCCACTCCGGCGGCCGCCGCGCGCCGTATGGATTATTGCCGGCGGCGACGGCCGGCGCGGAGCGCCTCAGGGCAAACACACCGTGGCCTGGGGCGGTCTCGGGACGATCCCCTGACGTGGTCCGCGCCCCTCGCCCCTCGCACGTGCTCCGGCTCGCAGCCGGCGGCCCAGAGGCGGCTCACGGCGTCCGGTCTTGCCCGGCGGACGAAGGGGCCTCGCTGCATATACAGTGCGCCGTGTTTGCTGAGTGCTTAAGTGCGCTTCCGTTTGCTAAATATGTCCTGAACGGCTGTCGCACGATTTTCGCCAGGGAAAGACAGGCTCGGTGCTGGATGCTGGGAACAAAGGGTAGAGGGGCGCAGTATGCATATTTTGTTCTCCTTGGTTGAGTGCGATGCCCCTGCGCGCTGTCTGTCAACCCCCCTCATTGATGCGGTTGCATTGACGCAATAATCACTTGCAGTCAGCGTCCCGATTCCTTCCTTGTCCACGCGTCCGTTCCCAATTTCGCTTACCCCACGACTCATCTTGTGGCACCCCTTCAACACAATATGCGGCGCTGCACGACGCTGTCAACAGTAGCGAGACGGCACGGCCGCCTCACCGCTCCGCCGCGTCGGCACGGCATCGTAAGAGTGGTGACCTCTGTTGACCTCCGCCCGTGCACCACCCCGGCTCGGGACGGCCTCTGACCGCCGGCACATCCCACCTGCGGTCCCACGAAGAGCTCACCGGCCGACGGGGACCGATGCGCCCGCTCAGGCTGCTTGGCATTCGGTGGGCGTCGGAGGCTTGGCCGATGGGAGGCAAGGGGCAAGCTGGTCCAAGCGGCTTGGGTACATTCTTCTGGCACTGTGTGAGGCCAAGTTCAGAGATCAAGGATGAGTACATCGCGGTTTCGGTCGATCGTGGTCTTCTGGCCAATTGGTGGAGCGGGGAAACGGGCCATCTCTGTTATGTCTACTGCCACGAAGGTTCGCCTTCGTCCAGCCGGCGACGCCACACCGCACGCTGTCCGCTGCCGTCACTTGACCTGGAAGAAGATGTCATCAAAGATGACGACCTCGCTGTATTCCTCGGGCTGGTAGCCGCTGAAGAGCACCTCAATGACCACCCGGACCAGCAGCAGGCAGAGGTTGGTGAAGACGGAGACCACACTGAGCCGGGTCAGCAGGCCGGGCCGCCCGGCCAGCGAGCGGTACACGTACCCCAGGAAGCTGGCCAAGCAGCAGAGGCACTGCACCGTCAACACGAACACGGTGATGCGGCTGCTGGTGCTCTGCGGCCGCGCCAGCATCTGCTGCACCAGGTCGAACAGCAGCAGCGCCAGCGAGGCCACGGCTCCCAGCGTGGCCAGCAGGATGTAGTGGTCCTTCCGACCCAGATGGGTGTGTCGGATTTCGTCGAGCATCGACGGGCAGCACGCCATCGCCCAATTCTAACTTTGACCATTAATTGCGCGACTTGCCAGACACATGTCACATCGGCTATTCTTTGATCGTTTCGGAAAGTTGCGCCGCTCGCCCAAGAGTCATGGTCGTGAACATGTCGCAGATGTCATGGATCTAACGGATGTCTTCAGGAACGGTATCTATGGTCAACATTTAGTTGATGTATACGATTTGCGCTCCGATAAGACAAACGCGTTATAGTGCGCGTTATTGAGTCCTGAGTTCGTGAAGTTGTCGTGGAATGCATTTGTCGACTCTGTTATGTCAGCATGTGCCTCATCATTTTGGGTCCTTTGATTGGAAGAGCGTCTCGCAATGAGCTAGGAATGTTCGGGTGTTTGACACTCGGTTGTAGTATTGGCATAGTTCGTGCCATAGCACGACTAGCGGTGACGAAGACGATAATTTCAAAGCATGCTGGCTTGTTTTAGGCGGTTAGGTGGAAATCATTTAAACCTAGATGTAACTTGAACCAGTGTCATATTTTGAGCAGATCAGCAGCCCTGTGTATGACATTTTTTTGCACCGCATTTCTGAGTAAACTTAAAATTAGAAATTTATAATCGCTTTAAGGCAAGATGGAGATAAGTCACCTGTGCGGATAAATTGCACCTTACGGCGCTGAACTCCATGCAAGTAAGGTGAGACGAAATATGATTGATTGGATATGATTCGAGGGAATATTCAGCCCCGGACACATTAATTAAATTATGCATGTAAACTATGAAAAACCCAGTGGCATATCAGTCCGTCACACCATTTGGATTGAAGACCCAGTGGTGAGATCCCGTGTCACACGCTCGTTACCAAAACAGCGGTGATGCTAATCCGCTTCCCACGTCCCCATCCGTGGTATGCGCCCCCAATTATTGATGGCTAGAATCTGCCATAAAAAACGCCGAACAATCGACGTTCCTGTTTTTATCGTCGCCGTCCATCGCCAGGTTGCCTCCTGAGCGCCGGATCTTCGCCTGCAATTATCGTACCAAAACCGCACTGTCAAACATTCCACGTGCAGACGGACTGTCTAAACTTGCCAGCATCCCCTGCCTGCTACAGATGACGCAGCGCTGGGTCGCCACCCCTCCCCCCCCCGTCCCCCTCCCGTCCCCCTGACTCCGCTCGCGCGCTCCCCGACCCAATCGCAGACTCGGCGCGGCGGGCGCGGCCACCGTCGGCAGCGATGCGGCGCCCCACTGCAGTCTCAGCCCCACCAATGTCGAACGATGACCGCCGGTCGCTCCATTAGCGGAATGAATCGCGGTCGGCGCGACGTCCGGGCGGCGGTGCTTGGCGCGCGATGTGGGCCGTTGCCCGCGGTGACATGGCCGGCCGGCCGTAACTCAAAGGCCCGTCTCCCGCGCCGCCCGGCCGGCCGGCCGCCCACGCCCGCCAGGGATCGAACACAACAAATTTTAAGTTGATTAAACCGGGACTGGCGGCGGCCGTACGTTTGCGCTCCGGCTTCGGCTGAGATGACGTTGATCTGGGCTGTAGGAGTTACGGATGGGGAAGGGCAGATCACGGCCTCCGCTGTGGCGCCGTCCGCCGTAGGGGGTCTGTAGAGCAGACCACCGCCTGCGCTGCGTCGCCGTCTGCTGTAGGGGGTCTGTAGAGCAGGCCACCGCCTCCGCTGCGACGCCGTCTGCTGTAGGGGGTCTGTAGAGCAAACCACCGCCTCCTCTGCGGGCGTTGTAGGCTGGAGGGAGTCTGTAGAGCAGACCACCGCCTCCACTGCGGCGGCGTCTGCTGTAGGAGTCTGTAGAGCAGACCACCGCCTCCACTGCTGCGTCGTCTGCTGTAGGGGTCTGTAGAGCAGATCACCGCTTCCACTGCGGCGGCGTCTGCTGTTTTGGGGGTCTGTAAAGCAGACCACCGCCCCCGCTGCGGTGCCGTCTGCTGGGATGAGGACGGTCGGTCGCGCCGGGGGGGGGGGGGGAGGATGGAGTGGATCCGTGCTGGCTCCTACCGTGACGGACAGGTGCTTTTGAAAGGCGCAGTGAGTGCAGCTCTTCGTTTTTTCGACATTTCTCAAGAACACGTGAAGATGCGCGTGCGTGGCGTTAGGCCGAGAGTAGCTTAACGGAGAAGTTGCTGGTAAGGGCTAATAAAGGCGAAATCCATTTGAATTAAAACACAAATGGAATAAGCTTGTTTGTGTAGTGCACTAATCAGATTTAATGGCGTTTAATTAAGCCACGTTAAAAGGGATTGTGTATCCTCCCAAAGCACCCTAATTGGCTGCCTTGGCTGGCGACTCGTGCGTTTAAGCCCTTCCATTCAGGTTGAAGCCTGACATATTGGATAGGCCAGGAGTTGATTGGTGTGGCTGACTCGTGCGACGGGATATGATTTGGGTGCCGCAAGCACGTAGGGTAACAGGTTCTTCGACAGTATGCGCCAGTGCGGGAATTCTGCTGCGCGGTGCAAGCCCGGCATGCTTTCTGTGTCTCATGCGACTGGTTTGATGTGTTTCAGGGACCGCGTCATGCGGATAAACCTCAGCGACATCAGTCAGACGGACTGTCAGGTAAGATGCCCGACCGGCGGAGGACCGCCCGCACGCGGTCAGTCATGTCCAAAGTGGATGTCCGCGTTCTGGGGGTCCGGTTCGGCCGACCGCGTTCTGGGGGCCGGTTCGGCCGACCGCTGGCGTCCAGTCACGACGGTCGTCCGCACCTCGGCCCCACGGCGGCGGCCCTGGCGTGCCGCGGCGGCACGTGAAAAAAAGACCCGGCACTCCGGCGTCGGGCACGTCAGAATGTCATTACCAGGCAACACAATGAGACGGAATTGAATCCGCTCGTTACCACAGCCGCGCTGGTGGGACCTGTCCCCGATATAAATTGTTTTCGTTTTCCGCTTGGTCGCACCGAGGAGGCGGGGGCGGGGAGTCGATAGGAGCGGGGCAGCTGTGACGGCCGGGCACAGACGCCGCACGCGCCAACTGCCCAGAAACGTGCCTCAAATACAGTCTGTGCTGGGTTCTGTGGAGAGGAGCTGATTTACGTGGCATAGTTGATTGGAGGATTTTGGCTGGGATCGAGCGGTAATGGAAAAGCCGCCTTTTTGCGATTATGGAAAAGCTACGCGCTGATTATTCTAAGCCCGCTACACGGCATTCATTCATTCCGAAAGTGTTGCGTTTCGAAAAATGCATTTTTGTGGCGGCGCATCATTTAGGGAAGTGCGTTGGTTGACCCAATAACAAAATTCAATCCGGAAAGGCGACATTACATCTCAGAGCTCCAGCACAGGCAAGGGTCAATATTTTGGTAGCGCTCATTTTGCGTATTCAGTCAAAGAATACAGTCAGGGACAGTTGCGTGGCCCCTATTTGCCTTGGACGTGTAAAAATGTGCCAACCAGTTATCGAATGTCAGTTAATCATCCATTGCTGCACTTCACCCATATCCATCACCCACTGGTGAAATGATTCACTATGCGGAAATAGTGGCCATCGAAGAGCAGCGTGGAGCCACGTTTTGCACACCCATTATTTTAGTAAAGTGAATATCATTTGTGACCCACTCGACTACCCCTCTGCAGCTTGCAGCTGATCAGCGTGATGGTCTGCAGACCCCGATGTTGGGTCATGCCGCGTGCTATTTTTATCCAGTCATGCACCTGAATATGAGCGATAGTGTCTGCACTCCAACTCCATTGTTAACTTACAATCTTGTTTCTGTTGGGGTCACTGCACGGCAAATGCCGTCGCAGGGCAGTTAAAACCTTTGGAATTAAAGCCTAGATTTAGAAGCAAAATCGTTGATTGATATTAAACGTAGCTTCGCGGGTACCAAATATACCTTTCGTAAATACGCAAAGGTGTGTATATACGTCCACGTGCATATGAACAGTGATATAGTGCATGGAATGTACAAATATGATGTGCAATGTACAATGAAAATGTACAATGTACAAATGGCAGTCACGTGTACGAATTCGGGCTGTCGCCCGAATTCACACACGTGACTGCCAACCGTCAAAGTAATGGAGCCCTGCTAGCAATCGTTAAATACTGCGCCATAAAGCGGTCTCGATGCGTTTGTGTTGGGAATGCAACTCCTCGACAGCCCCGCTGAATATCGTGCCGCGGAGTTACGACGCCGCGGCTGGTTTGCTACCCTCTGGCGGGAGCCCGTGACTTGGCTGCCACCCGAATTCAGATCCAGTTTATGGGGCGTTTTCGTGTTGAATTAACGGGGTCCACTTTACGATCGCGGCGTACGACAAATGCCGGCGTCGTAAAACGTTATAAAATCTGGCTGGGTCGATTCTGTCACATGCCGCACCATCACGACTGATGGGGAAGTGGGGAGACGGGCCGAAACTGTTCTCATGTACCGCGCTATCAGCTCTTTACGACTTTGAGTGGTCAACATTCACAGTTGGGGGCTGTTTGTGTCGGGTACTCCTCGGCTGTAGCTTCCGATTGTTTGAGCTGTAGTTAAACTTGCTTTGTTCTTTTTCTTCCGTGCATTGTTTGCCTTGTCGTTTTGTTTGGAGAGGCATTCAACTGGTGTTTCCTATTTCAGAGAGATTCGCTTCTGTTGGAGCCGACGAAGAGCACTGAATGCACTTCCAAGGGCAAAAATCAGGTGAGTCGGTCGCGAGGACCTCTGAAAGTTGATGTATGGATAATATCAGTAATGACAGAGTTGTTGGCCTTCACTTGCAGTTCTTTAAGGCAAGCTCTTGACCACCGTTATCGGGCCTTATCACCGCAGTTCACCGCCCGTTGTGTGCGGTGAAGCTGGCGAACGCAAGGCAGTGAGAATTCCGGAGAGCCGTCCTTATGCTCCACGGGGTAGAAATATGGGCATCTCTATCCGGCTTGGTTGCCATGTCATTCTCAGACAAAAGCATGAGCATGAGAGCCGATGCAGCCCTTCCCTCCCACGCGTCGGCGCTGCCTGTTGGCCGCGTGCCTCGGTCGACGCTCACCAGATGTCTCCGCCGTCGCCGCGCCGCTCGGTCCGGCCGGCGGGTGGACGCCGTCCAGAAACGAAATCCCCGGCGGCCGGATGCGCTCAGTTGCCAGCCTCGACCGCGACGTAAATCCAGCAGGCATAATCCGGCCGTAATTGAAAAATCTCGACGTCGGCGGCGCGGCGGCCACAAATCCGGCGCGCTACGGCCGTCGCCGACCGGTGTTTTACGACACTTCCGATGGCCGGCCGTTGGCCAATGCCCGCGGAGGGACGGACGGCCGCCGGCTTCGCGGAGCATGGACGGCACGGCAGGCGGCGTCGCTGCGCAAAGCCTGATTGTTTGGTGCGGAGCGACCGTCCCACCGGCCCTGTAACACTGCGTGTTTAATTCAATCATGTAATCCGCTTTTCGCCGGAACGGGTTGTGCGTTTAAATCAAATTGTCTTCGCCTCGCGCCTGGGCTGGCGCGCTTTCTCTCCGGGGCTTAGGCCTGTAATATGACGAGTTTAATTTTTGCTGGTACTCGCCGGCCCCACAGATCATGCAAAATCTGGCAGTTGCACATTTTTGCAAATTGGATTTTCTCCCCGAGGCGATGGCGTATCAGCACTGGCGCCCCTCTGGACGCCGGCGCCGGAAGTGCAGCATTTCCTGTCGGTGTGTCTTCCGAGTCGTTTCCTCCGCGCGCCGCGCGTCACCATTTCCGTGGGGCGCGCGCCGGCGCGGCGTCTTTTCTTCGTCAGCGGCGGGGGTGGCATCTGCCCAAGTCTGGCGCCCCGGCCGGCCGGCAGCGGCGGGCGGCCGAGCGGGCAGGGAGGGGCACGCGCGGTCGACCCGCGCACCGCGCGCCGCCCCCTGCCAGGCCCGAATTAGAAGGCCGCGCCGCGCCTATCGTAGAAATCCGTCCACTATGTGGATTTCTGTTACTGTTGGCGGAGCGCCGCGACACGCGCCGGCCGGGCTGGTCGGCCGCACCGCCCCGGGCTGGTCGGCCACACCGCTACGGGCCAGTCCGCCACATCGCTTTAGGGCCGGCCGGCCACACCGTCCCAGAGTCGCTCGCCCGTGGCCAGTGCTCCGGTCGGAGGGGCGCCTTTTGTCAGGCCCCGGATGGCCTGAACCTTCACCAGCTGGGTCGGCACGGGGTCAGGTCACGGTCTGTCCTCCGGCGGCGGCCCCCCGGCACCAGTGTAGGATGGCGTGGGCGGCGGCGGAGGGGAGGGGGTGACCGGAGCTGCCCCACCCCGCTGATGGTGATAGATCGCGGACGGCTGGACACGACACAATGGCGACATGCATCACGGCAGGGATTGCCTGCCCAGCCGTCGGCTTAGAGGGGCACCGGCGGTGCGCCAGAGGTCACAGAGCCGAGGCACGAGGGGGCCCTCGTCACGCACACCGAGCATAGGCTCTGGCGCTCCAGGTGGATGGGTGGGCATGCTCGGGTGCGTCTGAGGTGCTCAGGAGCGAGGTCAGCGGACGGCTGGGCTCAGGCGGGCTGCTGCTCCGGCGCCTGCCGGCTGCCACCAGGCTGGCTCCAGTGGACGCTGTCTTATTAGCCGCGGGAAAAGTAACGTGACAAAAGTGATATCATTGGGATTTATAATTGAGGTGCCCTTCAGACTGAACACCAATTAGCCGTAGGCTGATTTATGCATGCATTCGTTTCCCGGCATGCGCACGAATGGTTAATAATCAACGCATGATTAGCTATAAATACCGCTGATGATTGTTCGGGTGAAATAGCACTTCCTGGTCGAAACACGTTCGTCGAAATAATTGTCGCATTGTTGCGGTCCCAATGTCACGTACTAAATAGCCATAATGTTGCAGCAGCATTCCCTTGCCCATCGCGGTTGTCTATATCCTGTGCTATCCTAGCAATAGACATGGATCGTTGGCTTAGATAGCTTTGGGCGGAATAATATCATGGCATCAAATACCTCAACATCTTCAAATCAAACATAAAATTTGCCATTGATAGGTTGGACGGTCATTCAGGCGGCCTTACATAGGCGCCACGCAGTGGTATATGGATATCGTGCAAAACATGTCATCGTTCCAGTAAGTCGGTGCATGGTCCATCCGAAATGTCCCGAAAGATACTTCACCATCTTAATACTAAAAGCCCAACATAGTCTGGCGTCGTCCGTGCTTCCTTGTTGATTTGATGCGCGTAAGCACAGTGTGACACGTGCAAGCTTTCCACATCATAAGCTTTGCAGTCCGCCGACAGCACTGCACTCCGCATCGGTTGCGGTTCGGCTGTCTCCCCTGCCGCGTCCGATGGCCCCTCGGCTATCCCGCGGCCCCTGCCTCCGGCGACATCTGCCGGCCGTCGACGGTGATGGTCCGTGACGCCGCCTTCCGCGCCGTCTGGGCGGCATAGGAAATCGACACGGCCGCCCCCGCTCGGGCCGGCCGCGCGCGGACGCGCGGTGCTCGGCGGGGCCGGAGCCCGCACGGACAACAGCGACCGCCGCCGGCCGCCTGTTGGCCGAGCATTGATCATTGATCAGTGATCAATGGACGCGTAAATGAAGTCGGCCGGTCGAACGTGCGCGTGTCGCTCTCGGCGGCATACATGAATAAGCCGAGCCACAGAGCTGGGGAGCCGCGAGACCCGATTTATTACGGATGAGCGCGGACGCGCCGGGTGTTTGCCTTCGCCTCCGCTTATGGGATGTTTGTGCGCGTGATGGTATGCCCATCACGGATGCGTACGTGCGTGCTTGTGTTTGCATTTGTGTACGTGTGAAGTAATTTGTGAGTAGGCGTGGACGCTTTTTGTACGCATGTATCCCTTGCTGATGGGCGCCTCACACTCACTGTGACTGGTGATGCGCCTTTTTGCCAGGCTGGTTCATTGCCGTCATATATCAGCAGTCGGCGTTTGATGTCTGTATAGGCGAACGACAACTTACGGTACTCTCCGCCTGAAAGCGCCGATTGTTGCCTGTCAACGCAATCTGGCTGAACGACAAACGCCCTCGGCCCGTTCGACTCTGTTCTTTGTGTTCCACCGCGCCTGGGTGGGCTTTGAAGTGCCTGCTCGCGTTCCATTCGTTGGGCTCAGGGCCGGACGTGGCCGACGTTTTTCGTGTTCCGATTGACCCGGCGCTCTGCAGTCTTTGTGGCGGCTCTTCGACTGGCTTCTGGATGGCGGCTGAACAGGAAGGTCCCGGCTCGCACTCCAGTGCGAATGGCGCCAAGCCCCGTTTTCTTCGGGCAGGAGGAGATGTGAATGCACGGGTGTTTGCAAACCCTCTCCAGGTTTGTAGCGTTACGCCTGGCTGCGTAGCTCTTTTTTGGAGCACAGCCGTGCTAAGGATAGCGTCGAGCTTCAGCGTCTCTCCCGCGGGACCTCTCACGGTATTCACGAGGTTCACCGAAGTACGCCGGATTGTCATGCATCTTCATGCCAACCGGAGCCGGCAGCAAGCTACGACCGGACCTGACAGCGAGCCGTCGCCGCCGAGCGGGGCGACCTGCGTCCGTGGCCGTGCCGCCCCGCTGTCGGATGGGCCGCCGACGCGGCGTGAGCGGCGCCGGTCCTCGGCGGTGACTCCTGCTGGCAGCCGCCGATTTGCAGCGTCATTCATTCGGCCGGCAGTGAGCCGCTCGGTCCATTCCTCAGCGGCAGCAGCGCGGCTTTTTCGCGCAATTATCGTCAACTTCTTTGGACGATCTGTCGACACAACTGGACGGCTGGTGGCCTAACGATCCGGTCGCATGCAGGTTGAGAAATGGCGGTGGGTTTTACCGTCGCGAGGGAGCGGAGGCGACCGACGACGCCGGCTGGCTGGTGTTTAAGTCACACCGGGCGCCACGATTAATGACGAGGGGCCGTATTTATTAATGGTTGCGCCGCCCTACTTCTTAATTAAGCATGTTGCATTTAGCCGCTACAAGAGTGCAATTAGGCCGGAATTAAAACAATGCCGCGCGGTGGCGTGCGCTGAAATCTGTCGGGGCACCTGTGTCGCGGAGTGCCGGCGTTCCAGCGGCGGGCAGGGGTCGCGGGCCGCCGCGTCCGAACTCAGGTTAGCTCGCGTGCCCCGCGAACCGAAATCAAAACTGGACAGCTCGTGTGACGCTGCACCCGACTTTGGCGGCCCAGCTCGTTTGGAGGCTCCGCACATCCGACCCGGGAACACGACGTCGGGAGTGCGCCGCCGTGAACGCGCCGCTGCGAGCACGCCGCGCGGCGCACCCGCTCCCAAGCACGCCCTCGGCCGGGTGATTTATTGTGCGACGCACGTCTGCCGTTCGGGGGCACGCCCCGTTGCCCTGGAGGAGCCATTTGTCACGGAGCACGTTTGGCCGCGCTGGAGGGACGGCCGGCTGCCTCTGCGCCTGGCGCGTCCCTCTCTGAAGCGCGTGCTGGCGGTCCCGACTGCGCTCGGATCAGAGTTCAGGCAGCTGCCTACGCTTGTTCCGTCATAAGCATTTCTCAACTGCTGCCCGGGAGTTTTCCCTCCGACGACGGGGATCTGCAGAGGTCGGTCGAAGCAGTGCGAAGGGCTGACGACCGGCTCTACCCCAGTTTCCTAGACGTTCTGCACGGTCCTCAGTGAAGCGCTGGGGGACTCGTTTCGCTTGTCTGTGGTGTGAGCTCTCTATTATGGACCGCTCTCGGGAGTGAGGCTGCGCTCAGCAGGGGTGGTGTTACTGTCGGCATAGGTTCTCTCGACCATGTTAAAGACGCCTTTCCTCGTATGGGACGAGCGACGTGCTCTGATCGGCGCCGGGTGCTGAACTGACCACCACCGCTCAGAAGGAACACCGCGCCCGTCATCACATCACCTCAGACCACCGCCCCCTGCGTGCTCTGATCGGCACCGGGTGCTGAACTGACCACCGCCGCTCAGAAGGAACACCGCGCCCGTCATCACATCACCTCAGACCACCGCCCCTGCGTGGTGATGGCCACTGGTGCCCCGCCGTCTCGCGTGGCATCCATTGTCCCCTCCCGGATGCCGAGAGGCACCGGGACATCGCGCCTGAGAACTTAGTTCCCCCGCTTGCGCCGGCTGCTGAGTGACCCCGCTTGAGGTCTGAGTGTCTTGGCCGGAGCGATCGGAGTGTCTACGGAGCGGGCCGGCCGCACACGGAGTGCCTTCGTCGGGCACTGAGTGCCAACCTGAGAGCTGAATCCCTCTCCCGTGCTGAGTGTCCCGGCCGGTCGCTGGCGGCTCGGCCGGGTGCTAAGTGTCCCCACCGGGTGCTGAGTGGCTCGGCGCGCGCGCCGCCGGACAGGTGACCGATGGGCCGCTCCCGGCCGGCCAGCCCATTCCTCCAGCTAACTGCCGGCGGCCCGGCCCCGGCCGTCGCCTGGAGGCAGCCGGGCCAGCACCCTGGGGACGGCACCAGGTCGTGACCTCCCGCCGCCGCCGCCGCTGAAATGTTGGCTGTCGGCGCGCTTGTCGGGCCGCTGAGGATGCTGGTCAGGTGACCTCGACCTTTCGGAGACGGATGGAAGTCCGCTGCTGACGCTGGAGCTTGTGCCGGCGCTGCACTCTACGATCGTGGAGTGCTGCCCCGCCTGTGCCACCGGCGCAACGGAAGCTCCACTCCATCTGTCACTCCGTCGAGTGCCACAGAATCCGGGCCGCAGAACGTATCCGCCGGGCGAGCTCGACGGGCGCCGCGCCCGTCGAGCCGGCCGTGGGCCGTGTTGCACATCCGACTTCACATTCGGTTTGCATGCCTCCGGCGGCAGCGCTGGCCGAGCCGCATGACAAAGCGCGGCCCCTAAATAACCGACCACGCGAGAATGGCTGGCGGCACGTCAGAATAACTCTTCGGCCGGCGCCCCGCCCCGGCCGGCGGTGAGAGGTGACCTTTCACGTGGCCGCGGGCGCCACGGCGCTGTGACCCGGGGCGTGGCGGGCGGCCGCGTCGCGCGTGGCCGCGGCCCGCCCGGCCGGCCGGCCCGCGCCGGGGGACCGCCCGCGCTGCGGCCCGCCGCCGCGCCAGCTTGTGATTGGCAGGCGGCCATGTTATGGCGGGTCACACGCTCTGATGACGGCCGGGGAGCCGCCGTGATGGATGGCCCGATGCACGCGGCCGCAGTTAGTTTGTCGATCACCGTGTCGTTTGCCTGCCATAAGGGCGGCGCGACCTTACGTGTAATGGCAAAGCGGGCGATTAATGCAACCGTTCCGTGCTAAGTCGCCGAGCATTGGCGGCAGAACTGGGATGATTTAGCAGCGATTACGCGGCGCCCGGCCCTACGTAAGCTGTCCGCATTTCCATGACTTTGCCCGGCGCCATCCCTGTCCCCAATCAATACGTGGGTCGTTGAAGCCGCGAGTGCGGAGTCACGTTGAAAATTTATCGTGATCCTGTATGATGGCATGGCTCCACCATCTCTCTTCTGGTGTGGGGCATTCTCAAGGCACCGACGGAGTGTTCAACGCATCGTTCTTCGTTGCAGCACTATGACTGCCGGAACCACATCCGCGTCATCCAGCCGATGGGAGACGGCGGTCGGCTGTACGTGTGCGGCACCAACGCCCACAACCCCAAGGACCTGGTTATATACGTGAGTACTTCTCCAAGCTGTATGTCATCAAGCATGAGCACTGGGTGTCGTCGAAAGCGAGACGGCGTGTTAGCGCGGAGGCTGGAGCGCGGCCGTGCTCCAGCCTCTGCCCTACCACGCTCTGCCGTTGGTGTTGCGTGCAGCGTGTCTGTGCCGGGCTTGAAGAGATTGGGCCTCCCAAATAGTTTTCTGATCTCGTTTACTAAGGATGAGCAGCAAATTGTAGAAGAGTCAGATCGCAGCAAATCTCAAGCAACTACAATATCCTAATATTTGCGCGTTGTTTTCGGACGTAATGCCACGCACTGACACTCCGCCATAATGAAATTGCCATGTGGTACTCACCCCCCAATTCGCCCACCAAGGGTCAAAACGTCGCAGAAGTGCCGCAGCGTTGGAACACTTTTGGAAAAAGTATCAAAAACACACAAGAATCCGGACCGTGCGATCGCTACCATCTCACATAGCGGACCTAAACGGTCATCTTCGTGATCGCGGGTCGTCACCATTCATTCTTTCACAGCTTTAGCTGCCGCATGCGAGGTGGCGTCTGCATTCCGAGCCCATAAACGGGGCTGGACACCGCTGGAAACCGATACCTACCGCGTGGCCTCGATTTCGTCCCGGTACTTTCAGTCCGGCCTAACACTCAAACATTCGGGCACACATTCGGACCATCAGCCCGATCGCAGGCCTCCGACGCCGCTGGCCGTCCGTCGTGCGGCCACAGACAGCTTCGCCGCGGCTGTGGCGCGGATCACACTCCATTGTGGCGCTGTGGCGCGGATCACACTCCACTGCGGCGCTGTGGCGCGGATCACACCACCACTGCGGCGCTGTGGTGCGGATCACACTCCACTGCGGCGCTGTGGCGCGGATCACACTCCAATGTGGCGCTGTGGCGTGGACCACACTCCACTGCAGCCACGGCGTGGATTACACTCCACTACGGCCGTGGCGTGGATCACACTCCACTGCGGCGCTGTAGCGCGGATCACACTCCAATGTGGCGCTGTGGCGTGGATCACACTCCACTGCAGCCATGGCGTGGATTACACTCCACTGCGGCCATGGCGTGGATCACATTCCACTGCGGCCGTGGCGTGGATCACATTCCACTGCGGCCGTGGCGTGGATTACACTCCACTGCGGCCGTGGCGTGGATCACACTCCAGTGCGGCGCTGTAGCGCGGATCACACTCCACTGCGTGTGCGCAGACTGCAGTCCGCTCTGGCTCAGGATCGGGCTGGCACCGGAAGGCGGGGACGGTAGTGCGCGCGAGTCCGCTTGGATTGGACTGCGTGGAGCACCAGCCGGTGGGGGATCATTTCGCCCTGCTGTTTCTGTTTGTACTGCTGAGCGGTTTTCGCCTTGAGAAGCCGCACATTAGCGCACGACGTGACATAGTTTCAAGCCCTTCAAACACATGAAACGCTAACACCTTCTACTGCTTTCATCCCTGACAGTGCACGCTTATCCAGCATGACCTCATTGCGAAGGGGCTCGAGCTTGAGACTTTGTGTTTGATTGCACTGCGCTCGGAAACACGGCGCTGATCTCGGCGCATGCTGCGGGACGGCGATCAGCCGTGACGGACGGTGACCGGACGGCTGGCCCTGCATGTCCCGTCCGCCCCCTGCCCCCACCCTGCACTTCCGTCTATCGCCCGGCGACTCCAGAGCTCGCGTCGATCGGACATTTCCCGCGCGTCCCTCTCTCCCCGCTGTCCCAGCCGACCGTTCTACCGGCCCCGCGGAGCGAGTTGGCATCGGCTGGACACCGCCTGGGCCGTGTTTTCCGCTCCGTCCGGCCGGCTGCCCACTGTTCCCCGCCGAGCGCCTGCGGGACCCGCGGGGACCGCTGTGTAGCCGCCTGCGGAGGGTGACGGTCGTGCGCTGGACCCGCTCGGTCGCGGCCGCTCCCCACCGTCCCGGAGGCAAACAGAGGGTGTCGCCTTTATGGGCAGGCCGGGCGGAAAACGCGTCTCGGGTCCCTCGCGCTCGTGCTTTATTGGCAGTCTGGGACCACCACCTCTTTCTCGGCCGCCTGCGCGCCTTTCAGCGTGTGCTCCCTGGTGGAACCACAAGTTAAAAAAGCTTCAGGCGCCTGTTTTATGCCGTGGTGCTCCGTCCTCTGGTCTGGGTCGGTGTCCTGCTGGCTGAACGGATCCAACTGTCGTTGGGTGTGGATCAAAACATGTAGGGAGCATGGACAGGACCTTTAGGGCCCAGCGGGTAAGTACCAGCGAAGGTGATCAGTTGTTTTGGGCAGTCTTGCTTCATCGCCGGATTCAGTGCAACTTCCTCGTGCGCGCTCATTCGTCCGAGTGCAGCGCGTTGTTACCCTCGCGCGGACCTCTCCGCCAGAAGCGCAGCGACCTTTATCACCGGCGCCCGTCTCCTGTCACTCCCCCGCTTAGCGCCGTCTTCGAGTGAGTGAGAGCCACCCACGGAACAGGTGTCTGCCCTGACGCCGACGCGCCTGCTTCGAGCGGTGTCGCTGATGACACAGCTGTCCCAGCTGACACCGACGGCAGCCGGCCGGGCTCCGCCGTCTCGTGAGTATGTGGCTCGGGCGCGCTGCTCCGGCGGCACGGCTGATGGGACCTGTCCGCCGGCGCCGCCACCGGCCCGGCCGCGCCAGGCCCAGCGGCCCGCCGTAATTTCCATGTGTCAATCATCGCCGGCTCGACAAAAGAGAGCAGGGGCGGCGCGGTGCCATTACGGACCGTTCACTGAACCCCGCGGCCGGCGGGTCACGTGACCCGGCCGCCGGTGGCCGGCGAGACATCCGCCGTCCCCGTGCGCCGCTGTCACGATCCCCAGGGACGAGTGGACGAACTTCACCGGCATTGTCAGAGGAGCAGGCAACTGGGAGAAGTCGGCCGTGGCGTGGCTGGGAAATATATCGTAAAATGAGTTCTCTTGGGCAGACCAGACATCGCTCGTGCGCGAAGCATTGTTGGGTGAAATATTTGTTTTCGCTATCATTGGCGATGGGAGAGGTTTCCCGCCCCGGTCGTGGCCGTTCTTCACTTTCGAGCTCGGTGGAGAAAAATGCTGCACGGGTTCCGGCGATGATGCCCCATTAATCGACGTCAAGAGTCTGCCGAAACAGAACAGAGCGGGCCACCCCTTCCCTCCGGCTGTCCCCTCTGCCTTCCGTCTTGTATTCATTTCGTTTCGCGGTCGGCTTCAAAAACAGTCACTGCGTTGTGTTAGTTGTGCTCCACATGGCTAATAGCCTTTGCACCGTTTGTCGGCGATGACTGCTGCTGGGATTCGGCATCTCGTCACTAGGCAATGGCTAACTGAGACAGGCGTTTCACTTAGAATACCAAGCGATCCGTTTCTAATGGTAAATCATTCCAAAACAAAGTGGCATAGCCTGCCACCTTGTGGCGCCGTCTGCCGGTGCCGCGTCCAGTCGAGGCCGGACGTCTGCCGTGCGTTCTCCGCCCTGGTGTGTCGGGAGCCGCCGGCGGTGCCGACGCTCTGGCCGGCGGCCCTGCTAACCTGGCCGGCGCCGGCCCAATGTGCTGACGCCCCGGCCAGTCACACTCGGCGGCTGATCAGATCAGGTGGCGCTGCGGAGTCAGCGGCGCCGCGCGGCGAGCTGGCCGCCCCTGGCGCGCCGCCGCCGCCGCTCGGCCGGCTCGTCGCACCGGGAGGCGTTCATATTGTCCGAGGTACTGAATGTCCGTACCAGACGCGCCACGATCGCCGCCGCCGAGCGGGCGCCGAGCGGGCGCCGCGCCTCAATCGTGCCCGTCTGCGGCGGCGCGGGAGAGGGGCGATGGCGAGCGCAACGGTAGCGGCTGGTGTCGACAGGGACTGTGACGCTCGCTGAAGTGACTGGTGTGAAAAACGTTGGAATCGCGTGTAACTCATTGAACTGACTGGTGTGAGGGACGCTGGAATCATGTAGGACTCACTGGACTGATTGGTATGACGGGCATTGAAATCGGGTGGAAGCCACTGAACTGGTATGATAGACGTGGCTGATCTGATATGGTAGACGTCGGAAGCGAGTGGAACTCACTGAACTGACTCGTATGACAGGCGTTGAAATCGAGGGAAACTCACTAAACTGATTGGTATGACAGACGTTGGAATCGCGTGGAGAACTGGGGGCGGCGACGCCTGTTCGCCCTGACGGCAGTGTGACATAGCTTCTCCCGTGCCGCATCTGTGAGATTGGCGTTGGCACCGGTGCGACGCGCCGGCTTCGTGACGTCGCGCTGGCAGGCGACGTCAGCAGGGGGGACGTCGTCGATGCGAGCTGTCAGCGGCGAGCTGAGTGACGTCGGTGCCGGTCGCGGAGCTGCCCCGCCGTCGAGCGACGACACCCGCTCGGGATGTCCTGCCGACGGAGTCACTCACTCCCGGCGCTGACGCGACAACGGCGCCCCATCCATCTCCTCGGCGGCCGGCCCACGACCAGCGCGTCGGCCTGTGACGGCCGCGGCCGGCGGCGAGCGGCTGATGAGGACCCTTCGACGCCGTCCGTCTGATGACACGTCTGATGACACGTCTGATGACACGTTTGATGACACGGCGCCGGCGCCAGATTGGAAGCCCTCGGCCGACGAACGCGCCCACCGTCCGCGGCGGCTTGGCATCCCACCCTCGCGAGCTGCGCCGTTATCGTCAGACGTCAGGAAAACAACAGAGTATGCATGGCGGTCCACATCATTCATGGAGGTGATGCACGGCCACCAAATTCGCCATCACCCGACGCGAGCGGCCGCCGCCGGCACGCCCCGCTTGCCTCAGCGCGGCACGTGCCGCCACGTCCGCATGATTGCGTCCCCTCTCGGGTCAACCGCCCGGCCGGAGCAGCCGCGTCCGGCCGGCGCGCCGCCGCTTTGTGAAACCGGCAAGGCGTAACTCATTAGGCCCTGCTCCAGACACCCGGCTGTGTGCCCTGAATAGTTAGTGGGCCGGCCAGCCGATTTGGGTCTGTCAGTCTGGCAGACGAATGGGCCTGCCGCCGGAGGCCCGATGGAGCCCCGGGGAGGCCGGCCTCCAGGGGCTGCCGGGCCGGCTCTCAGAACGCCTACGGATTGATGTCTCGAGCATGTTCGCTTCCCGGGAGACGGGGAGAGGATTCCGCGAGTGGCTGCTGCATGCGGATGGCGAGATTCTTTTTATGGCATCGATTTTTTTCTGTTACGGTTCGTGTTGCGAGACTCTGATAATTTTTCTGGCGGTATCGTTGGGTGCAGATGACGCTCATATCTTCCTAGGTTTTCTCAAACGTGCTTGCATCAAATCATCCACGTGACGTGCATTGTTTCACAGTCAACGCAGTATTCTACAGAGCAGGATTAACCAGCTGAATGCACTAGAGCGAACCACCGCTCCACACCCCAAGCGTACATACTACGACCACCGCACCACCAACGCACCTCCACGCACGCGCTTCACAAACGCGCTGACGGTACGGGCGCTCGGAGGCGCCCACTGTGCTTGTGCCAGCTCGGGCCCGTGCCGGCGGCCGTCTGTCTCGCGTCGGGAGTGGTGCTCGGCAGGGACAGTGGCAGGACCGCCGGTCCGAGAGCCGTCGTCCGTCTCCTGTGGTCCACAGGCGGCTGACCGCGCTTTCAATTTAGATATTAAAGCCGGCCAAAGCCGGCGTAAATCACAAGGCAGACGTAAACGACGATAGTTGGGATTTCTGCGCGATTAGATATTCCACGGCGAAAATCTATAAAGCGGTCGGCGGCGTCCTGGGGGAAATCGCGGCGAGTGTGCCGCCGCCGGCGCCGCCGGCCGTTTTTACAGGCGGCTGCGCGCCGCGCCTGTCGCGGGCGCGCCGCAAACGACGCGGGATGAATCTCGTCTAGGGTGCGGGATGTGGCTCGTCTGGCCGCGAGGGGCCCCGGGGCGACTCTCACCATGATTGTGGCCGCCGTGGGCCCGACACCGACGCGACTTCCGAAGGGGGGAGGGAGGGGGTGGGGGCGAGGCGAGCGCCGGCGAACAATGCGGCGAGGAGTCGCCGAACTGTCAGCTCAAGCGGAGGAGAAGTGGCGAAAGGCGATCACGTGCGTTTGGTCGCGACATCTACGAGGGGAGAAGAGCCTGAGTGGTCTGGGGTGACCAGGCCGGTAATGGGGATGTTTGCCAGTCCATCTCCACACCACGAGCTGGTACTGTCCCGCGTCCACAGCGGCGGAGTGCGGTAGCGCATGACGCGAGCCCGCTGCCGCAAGTGATCCGAGTTACATTCGCCGGTAGGTCGTGTAGCGCCTATCACCAGAACTAGAACAAAAACGTCCTAAATCCGTATTGCGGCCTGGGTTGCGATGAAACGTGCCGCACCACGGGCGGCGGCGCTTCCCGGCGCGGTGCTGACCGGTCGGGGTTGGTCGGGGGCGCCTACCGACGCGGCGCCGCTGGTCGGGCCTTCATCGCGCCCGAGCGGCGGCCGACCCTCCGGCCGGCGCGCGGCACCCCGGGCCCCGTCGGCAGGCGGCGGTGACGCCCGTCGGACGCGACGGCCGCTCGTAACAAACAGCGGACGCTGCGGCGCCATGAACGACGGGCGACATCCGCTGTCGGCCGTTTACGGTTAACGAGCCGGCCGCCCAGCCGGTCCAGTTTGGCCGGCCGCCGGAGACTCGCCGGCAGCGGCAGGGCGGGCGTCAGTGTGGCTGGTGCTCTCGCGCTTTCGGCGGAAGGCTCGATGTGCGAGTCTTGTTCGCCAATGACGTCCGCCGAGTCGAGATTGGAATGGGGTACTCAACCCATGTGGCCGTTAACTTGCTGGGCGGCACCACTTGGTGTGAGGATTGCTGCCGCATGTAATTAAAGTGGCGCCATTCGATCTGTGTAGGGACTCGGCCCAGCACTGTTTTATGATCAGGACGAAGGTTGTCATCTAGTATCAGCCTGATAAGCTATGCTGGAGGAAGGGACCTCTGTGTATACAGCATCCCCTGTCTGCAAACTCAAGTCTTCCACCATTAAGTGTTTGCCTGCATTCACCCGTCATGCCCCTTGCCGTGCACGCGGAACTTGACTATTGCAACCGATTGAATTTTGACGTTTTCCGAGCCACGATACTGTGCAGCCTTGTTGAGGCTGGGATGTTTGATCTAAACCGCATATCCCCCTCCCCTCCACACGCACACACACACATGCGATCGGAGCAGACCCACCGAGTGTCCAGACAAGAGGATCTTGTGAGTCCCCGTTGTTCCTCATTCCTCTCTGCTTATCCCTCCCAGCTAACGGCCCGAACAAATGCACCATCCTCATACAGCGTCGAAACAAAGCGGCCACTAGGCGCTCGGCATGTTGCGCGCTGGATGACGTTTTGTATGACCTCTCCGCACGCTCAAACGTGAGGGAACGGGACCGCAGCTCCGCGTGCATGGCTCGTCCCTCGCGCACCTCACACCGCGCCGCTCCGCCCGCAGGCCAACCTGACCAACCTGCCTCGCACCGAGTTTGTGCCGGGCATCGGCAACGGCATCGCCAAGTGTCCGTTCGACCCGGACGACAACTCGACGGCAGTCTGGGTGGAGCACGGCAACCCGGGCGGCCTGGCCGGCCTCTACTCGGGCACCGTGGCCGAGTTCACCAAGGCCGACAACGTCATCTTCCGCACCGACCTCTACAACCTCACCACCAAGCGGCGCGAGTTCATGTTCAAGCGCACCATCAAGTACGACAGCAAGTGGCTCGACAGTGAGTAGCGGCTGCTGGCGGGGCGGGATGTGGTCGACGGTGGCTTTTTGGAGAAGCTGTTCTGATTGCTTTGGAAATATGGAGTGCAATCAGCCATCACAAAGATTGCTGTGATCGTGCAATCACAGTGTACTTATCAGCAACGCAATCTAACTGCTCATATCATCTTTTTTTAACGTGTTCTGGAAAATAGCATTGCTGGCAGAAGCTAACTTTTCCCACCTATAACCGCTCTTCAGCTGCCTTTGTAGACAAATTATGTCACAGGTGCTTCGGAGTATACGTTGCATCGGGAATCGAATTCGGATCCAACAACCCATGAAGTTTCTTGGCTATTTGCATTTTGGATCAATACACGTTCGCTTAGATCTTGAAACTTTCGCCACTTTTGCCCCGGCTGAGCGAAAGACAAGTACGTGCTTTTTGTGGATTACAATCCGCCTGCGTTACAACATTGTTTCTGCCGGCCTTGGTGTGAAAGCTGCATTGAGGTCTTGGAGGAAAATATGTCGAGGGCAAATTGCCTAGTGATATGGTTTGGAATGGTAAACGTACGGCCCGTCTATTTTATTCAAGATAGGCCATTGTTATTACGTGCCGACTCATTTGTATTCCCTTATTTGTCTGCCTGCATTTTTTTATTGTCTTTCCGTATGTCAATGATGGATAGTCCTGTTTGCAGTTATTTACCAGGCATACTTCAAGTATTGCGTATATAGCCCCCAGAAAGTCTTCGTTTTAAACCCTTCTGCCAAAAACTAAAGACTTCTTGGTGACTCCCCATGTTGAAATTCGTTCTACTCGTGCTGCCTACTATCAGCGTAAACGGCTGGGACCCTGGTGGCACTATCACCGACCTAGCATATTACGACCTGGCTAAGGCACTGGTCGTGGGCCGGCTCGCTGCCACGCCGCTGCTCAGCTCCCGTATCTCAGCTCACCTCCAGCTCAGCTCCCGTATAACCCGCGACAGGCGGTCTGCGGCGGGAGCTGGCTGCCCGTGGTCGGTCGCACGGAGATGCAGTCAGGTCAGGTAGGAGTTCACCCTTCGTGCAGACGCTCAGAGATCGCCTCCTCTCGCAGAGCCTAACTTTGTCGCCTCATACGACATCGGCGAGTACGTGTACTTCTTCTTCCGCGAGACGGCACTGGAGTACATCAACTGCGGAAAGGCCATCTACTCGAGGTGGGAGATGGTGGCTTCTCTGTTAACAGCAATCTTGTCCACCAGCCAATGCCATGGAGTCTGTGCGTGTAACTGTGTTGCTTTTGACGTTTTAGGGACGCTAGCATATATTTTAAGGGCGCCTACATAATATAATCGTGAAGGAAGTTCCGTGTTGATTTCTTTGTGCTCGCTGTCAGAAAACGACGTTAATTAAGACATCGTCTTGTACTTCTCAAAATGTAAGCCACTGCCGACGCTGATGTTATGAAATCTCCTCTTTCCTGCATTGATTTTGTAGAAGTTATCGTCTTGTGCGTAAAAACAAGATTGCTACGTCAAATTTGACACGAAACAATTATGACGCGTCAAACAATCTAATACTTGTACGGGCGTTGATTTAAGAATCTCCGTTCTTTTTCCTTGTTGTCGGATTAAGGAGACGTACGCCGGTTTTTAACTACGCTAGTCAATTACCGTAGTCATCCTTCTCCATACATTTACTCTGTTCTTTCGTAGCATACGCACCATCGCGCCTCAGACCACTGTCACCGTTGAGGGCTTTTGCCCGGGCCGACCTGCACCCCTTTCCGCTAGCTGTGTTCAGTGCCGACAGGGCGGCGCCACCGGCGGCCCTGCGGGCGTCGGACGTCTATTAGGCGCTGTTGCCGTCCTGCTCTGTCCAGATGTCCGGGTTTGCCGCGGCACCGCTGCTCCAATAGGTTAATTTGCCGGCGCCATTAAGCGCAGCACGCCACGCCGCCACGTGGCCGCCTGTGGGAGGGATTCAGCTGCGGTGACACGGGTGATCGGGTGACGTAGATGGCTGCCCGACGGCGGTACGGAGGGAGGAGAACACCCGCCACCCGCGAATAGGCGGTGACGGCTGATCAGAGTCGAGCCGACCAGCTGTGTCCGAATCTCGATTGATATGCGTTGGATAGCATGCGAAATGTATGTATGGCCCACACGCATTCTTACGCATGCGTACTATGCGAAAATCTATTGTCTGAATGGGCAGACCATTCGCAGTTGTTTGGAGCAGGCATGGCGCATAAACATTCTCGGCTGCTCGTTTCGGCAAGATGGACGGTCACCGCCAACTCGCCGGGAAAAGACAGAAAGTCAACCTGCTTGCGCACGACCGAACAACGGGCTGTTTAAAACGATTCCGGCTCACCAGGCTGCCCCCCCCCCCCCCCCCCCACACACACACACTGTCACGTGGCTGACATGACATCAAGACAGAGTACGCTCCAAGAGCTGCATTTGCCTCCCAGTCAGGCGTCGCCTTCGCCTCGGCCGCCGGCTCCGAACCTACCTTCACTCACCCGGGACCGTAGGCTGGGACGCCATAGAAGCGATCACATCCGTCGCGTCCTGTTTGCCTCCCAGCCAGGCGTCGCCTTCGCCTCGGCCGCCGGCTCCGAACCCACCTTCACTCACCCGGGACCGCAGGCTGGGACGCCATAGAAGCGAGTACACCCGTCACGTCCTGTTTGCAGGGTGGCACGCGTCTGCAAGAAGGACACTGGCGGCAAGAACATCCTGAACCAGAACTGGGCCACGTACATCAAGGCGCGGCTCAACTGCTCTATCCCGGGCGAGTTCCCGTTCTACTTCAACGAAATCCGTGAGTATCGCCTGGCCATCTCGGTGGTCGCCTGGCCATTGAAATTTGTCGCCGCTTTGATCGTCGCCAAGGGGCGGCGTCCGCCTCGGGCCTCGGTTCGGGACACTGCAGTCGGACTCGCTTTGGCTAGGGTCCGTGTGTGGTCGAGCGCGAGGCGCGACCGAGTGGCACGTTTGTCCCGAGCGGCGCGCGCGCTGAAGCGCAGGGAGACGGCCGCGTCCCCCGTGCCGCCGCGAGGGCTGCGGCTCGCGCTGACGCTCCTGTTGCCGCGTCTCCTTGTCGTCTCCCTGTCGTCTTCCTGTCTGCGTCTCTCTGTCGTCTCCTTGTCGTTTCCCCGTCCGCGTCTCCCTGTCGTCTCCTGTCGTCTACCTGTCCGCGTCTCCTTGTCGTCTCCTTGTCGTCTCCCTGTCGTCTTCCTGTCGTCTCCCTGTCGTCTACCTGTCCGTCTCCTTGTCGTCTCCCTGTCGTCTCCCTGTCGTCTCCCTGTCGTCTACCTGTCCGCGTCTCCTGTCGTCTCCTGTCGCTCCTGTCGTCTCCCTGTCGTCTACCTGTCCGCGTCTCCTTGTCGTCGCCCTGTCGTCTCCCTGTCGTGTCTCCCTGTCGTCTCCCTGTCGTCTACCTGTCCGCGTCTCCCTGTCGTCTACCCGTCCTCGTCTCCCTATCGTCTCCGGCGCCGGAGGGGCAGGGGCGAGCCGTGGCTTTGGCGGCTCTGCAGGATCGCACGCGATGGCGACGGAGAGGCACTGAAAGGTAGGGGGCCATGTGATGCACTCATGTGCCAAATTGGGAGTAACGTTTGGCTGGGGATGGGTACGTCGGGTGTTGGGAGTCCCCTAATTCAGAGTCTCACTGGAGATCAGCCGCGTGCGTGACCTAGCGGCAGAAGCACGTTGACAATGTTGTGCTGTACACTTATAACGCCGAGTTGGCGCCACGCCCCTCCTCTGTGTTTACTGGTGCTGCCCCGATGTCTCGGGCGGCCGGCACTGCCCCGATGCTCCTGTGGCGGGTGCCCCTCTGTGGTGGGCTGTGCTGTGTCGGTGCCCTGCGACGAGGTACCGTGCCGGCGCCCCTGAGTCGGGCGGCACCGGTACGGCACCGCTTTGGCGGCCTGTTCCCTGCGCGGGCCCCATTAGCCGGGGGCGCAGCCGGCGGCGCCGGCCGGTTATGGCGGCCCTGCCCGATTGCTGCGCCGTTATGCGGCGCGGTCAGGCTATGGCGCGCGGGCCGCAGGCTCCAGCCGCATTGATCTGGCCGGCGCCGTCCCAAATCGCGGCCGCCGGACGTCGCCGCCGTCCCATCGGTGACAGCGCGCGCGGCGACACGGCACCCGACCGGCCGGCGCCGCCGGGTCAGGGCGGGGCGGCGGACAGGTGGAGTGGAGCAGGGCCGGGTGGGCTGGAGGTGGCCGTGGGGTTTGGCTTGATTAGAGGTTATACATCGCTCGTAGCCGGTGCATATGTGGCTTTACTCATTGCACCGTAGGGGTGCACAATCTTGGCATACGTAATGCACACAGTTGCCCTGAAATCTGAATATATTGGCCTGTGAGAAGCATTCTCGTGTAAGATCTCGCCGCCTGCAGCGCTCCGACATGGTCGCCTTCTGGTGTCATCGGCTCAGCTGTTGGTGCGACAGCCAGCGAATATACGCTTTCCGTGTCCCGACGTCCATGCCCGATGTTCGCAGAGTCCATCTACAAAGTGCCCGGTGACGACACGCAGTTCTACGCCGTGTTCACCACGTCCATGAACGGCCTGATGGGCTCGGCCGTCTGCTCCTTCACGCTGCGCGACATCCAGGCGAGTAATGTCGCCGCGCCGGGCCTACCGCCGAACGCAGTGCCGCGCCGCGATGGCCGCGCGGCGCGCGTGCGTGGATGCGCTCTGCGGGACCACTGTGCCGGGCGTCAGCACAGACGGCGCCCGCCGTCACAGCCGGGCTGACCGCGTAAACGGCACGCGAAATGTCTGCAGCGGGTGTGATCTTGTACGTTGACCCGCACTACCCCCGTTCGTGACGCACGTGAGATGTCCGCGCGTTGCGCCACAGCCGTGACCCCGCTGCCCCTTGACCCATCGCGTCGCCGGTGCATCGGCGGTGCCCTCTCCCCGCTCCGCACAATTGACTGCGACTCGACGGCGGCTCTCCTCGGGGAAGAGCGCGTTTCGCCGGCCGACGTGGCCCATCCAAGTTTCACGCGGCGGCGGCAGCCGAGGGCCTCGGGGCCGGCCGGCCGCCGGCCGTGAATGTTTGATCGGCGTCCGGACGTGACCTGTCGACCGGGGCCGATCCGCTGACCGGGCGCCGTGCCCGCAGGCGGCGTTCGACGGCAAGTTCAAGGAACAGAAGACGTCCAGCTCGGCCTGGCTGCCGGTCAGCCGGTCTTCGGTGCCGGAGCCGCGGCCTGGACAGTGTGTCAATGACACACAGACGCTGCCAGGTAAACACCCCGCCCACGATACCACGGCGATACTCAGAAGCAGCCGGGTGAATGTCCCCACACCAGACACGGTAGGCACTTCGCCGGGTGAACTCCCCACACGTCTGGCACGAGGAAAGCGACTCGCTCGCACCGGGGCTCTGTCCGGGGAATGCACAAATACATCGGCGGGACGGAGGTTCGCAGCGACATCCAGACTCGGGCAGGAAGATGCACTGAGATACCGGACACCGGGACGGAGGTTCATGGCCTTGCCCTCGCAGTACACTGCTCTCTCACGATACCAGGAAGGATGCTCATAGCGACGCCCAAACTCGGCCGGCGAGTGTTCCATGCTCATGCATCCCATATTCCAATATGTTCCATTCCTTCAACATTACTCTCTTTCCCTCTGTCGTTGTCTCTGTTTCTATCTCAGTCTCATACCTGGCTTGCACTGAAATCCATCATCAAAAGTCTGTATTTCATCGTGCCTGAGAATTGTCCCCAACTGGTCACGATTTTCGGCAGACATCGTGGTAATGTTCTCTTCTTGCATCAAGCTTATTTGTGTGCGCGTTTATCGTACCAATAATTTCCCGATGGCGTTCTAACAATCATTGGTCAATCATGCAACACAAACCGTTCTGTACGATTTAGCCCCTGACTGGCTTAGTCTACCAATTTCCTGCATTACCGGCCGCCTCGGCCGTCCAACTTACATCAAAAACGTAAGATTAGTTGGAGTTTTGGAACGCCTGGGGGCTGAGCAAACAAAGCGTACGCGGTGAGCCAGCATCTGGAAAATGAATGCGCTGGTCGGGCCGCGGCGCTGAGCGGCTACAGTTATTGTTCCGCACAGCTCGGCAGTGTTGTTTTGGGCCTGGCCTGCGGCAATTTTTCGGCTCTAAGTGGTCTGATATTGGTCCGAAATATTAGCTTGAACCTCTTTTGAATGCCAGAAGCTGCGTGCTGGCGCCCACTCGGCGGGAGCGGAGTGAGGCTTTGTTTGGGCTCGGCTAGCATATGGCAGAATGCTGGTCGCGGCTTGTTTTTGTGGGCCTGAAAAATATTCCACTTCAGTTCCAATGTTTTTCAGTTATGTTGTTTGAACGGCCCAGAATATGTGATATTCCCCAGAGGAATGAATGTAAGGCAGGCTTTAGCTGCTAGAGCCGATGGCTTGCTCGTGATTGTTCTCAATATGCGTGGTATTTTAGGCATGCTGGAGAGGACATCATTTTAGATTATTCGTAACTGCGTAACCGTGTTGCTGCGGTGATAACCACGTTTAATATGTAACCGCGTTGGGATATACGTCTCGCACCAACGCTGTCTTCAGCACAGCTTCGATTACCTATATGTAGACATAATGTGTGTCGCGTTGGCCGGCTTGAAACCCGCGAACACTTCAAATAGCGCCTGCTATGAATTATGACTACAGGCTTTCATCATCTTGTGATCTCTCTCAGATGATTATCTCATCTCAGATGCGATAATCATCTCAGATCAGAGATCTCATCTCAGATGTGGAACATGTTATTTTCCTTTGAGCAATAGTGTATTTGTTATCGTAGTTTACGGTCATGTTGATGCTGAGCGTGACGCCGCGCGCTGCCGCCAGATACGGTGCTGACGTTCATCCAGTCCCACCCGCTGCTGGACGGCGCCGTGGCGCACAACAACAACAAGCCCGTCTTCTACAAGCGCGACCTCATCTTCACACACGTGGTGGTGGACAAGGTGACCTCGGGCAGCTTCGGCAGCCAGCGCGAGTACACCGTCTACTACGCCGGCTCCAGTGAGTGAACCTGACCTCACCTGACTTCACCTGACCTCACCTGACCTCACCTGGACCTGACCTCGTCCCGTCAGGGTCAGAGGTCGGCCCGCGGGTTGGCTCTTCTGTCTAAGCCGGTGCGCCTTTGAAACGCAGCCTGTGTTGTTTTTTTAGTAGAAAAGTTTGGCTATGTATTATCATGCCATCATGTCTTCGTGTACAAATACCACGATATGCCTTTTATCCTGCCTGGATGCCCTGCAGTTCTAGGGTGCACTTTTACTGTTAACTTCTTAATGTATGTACTTTGTAAGAGCCTGCCGGGTGTTTGCACGCAGCCGCGCCTCATACAGAATAGGAGAGCGGGATCCGAATTACCGTCCCCACTTTGAACGCAATCATATCATAAAACTCGTATCATGCGAACATCGTACATGATAGGCTGGAAGGCAACCTGGGTGGCAATCTTCAGCCTTTCTCCCCATCGTCTGCATTCTTTCGAAACGTGCGCCAGGTTTAATTACGAAACTTTTGGGCATGCCCCCATCCCCAGGCCATAAAGTGCTCCGGGGCGGATTCTTTGATGCCGCTATTTCCGTTGTCAGTGTGCCGTTGCGTGCCACGGGCTCAGGCTTTAACATGGCCGGGCACGGTGGCACCTTCATATTAATGTGTAGTTTGTTGTAGCGTGTCATGTTGCCGTTCTCTCGGAACACATATGGTGCTTTATCGTACTCCTGTTTCGTATTTGGCTCAGCAAAGGTACTTCACACATGCGGTGAAATGACACCAGCGTAAAAACGCACCTTTAAAATAAATACTGCATCGCAGGAATCATTTTCTCAAACAGCGTTCCGTTGAAACTTAGTGCCCGCACAGTTTGTTATGGTGGCGCTGACCGCATCACCGGAGTGGTCCAAACTATTACATATTTTTGTCCCAGCCTTTTAGCCAAGTAGTTCTGAGTTTTTAACGTGACGGCTTTTGCCACTCGTTGCGGGGTGAGAGCAGCGTTCTAAAGGGCGACGGGCTTTCGACAGGACGCTCATCGTGGGCATCATATATCTGGTACTAAATCCCTGTCATGTCATTCTGAGCGTCACCAGTTGTGGGGTGCATCGGGCGAGTCAATAACGACGCGCTTCAGGGATTTGTGTACCCCAGCGGAACGCGGCTTCGCGTGTGTCATCGCAGCTCACCCGCCTCTCTGGCTCGCCTCTGTCCCGCCTCGCTGTCCCGTTTCGCTGTCCCGTCTCTTTCTTCCTCGTCTCGTCTCGTCTCGTCTCGTCTCGTCTCGTCTCGTCTCGTCTCGTCTCGTCTCGTCTCGTCTCGTCTCGTCTCGTCTCGTCTCGTCTCTCTCTCTCTCTCTCTCTCCTCTCTCTCTCTCTCTCTCTCTCTCTCTCTCTCTCTCTCTCTCTCTCTCTCTCTCTCTCTCTCTCTCTCTCTCTCTCTCTCTCTCTCTCTCTCTCTCTCTCTCTCTCTCTCTCTCTCTCTCTCTCTCTCTCTCTCTCTCTCTCTCTCTCTCTCTCTCTCCTCTCTCTCTCTCTCTCTCTCTCTCTCTCTCTCTCTCTCTCTCTCTCTCTCTCTCTCTCTCTCTCTCTCTCTCTCTCTCTCTCTCTCTCTCTCTCTCTCTCTCTCTCTCTCTCTCTCTCTCTCTCTCTCTCTCTCTCTCTCTCTCTCTCTCTTTCTTTGTTTCCCTCCCTCCCCTCCCCTCCCTCCCTCCCTCCCTCCCTCCCTCCCTCCCTTCCCCTCCGCCATCGCCGTGGCGGCGGACCTAACGGCTGACGCGCCTCCGCTGCAGACGACGGCCACGTGTACAAGATCGCCGAGTGGTACGACGCTCGCGGCGCCTCGCACGCGGCTCTGCTCGACATCTTCCAGGTCACAGCGCCCGAGGCAATCCGCCAGATGGCGCTCTCTCGCCGGGTGAGCATGCCCGTCGTCACGGGGCGTGGCGGCCGGCCCGATGCGCTGCCGACGCGCTGTTGATGACTGGGCGTCGTGTGATCAGACGACTGGATGCGCTGTGTGAAGTTCGGGCTGGCCTCTCATTCGGTTGTGACTCACTCAAGGCATTTTCATAATAACTTTGGGCACTTATTCTACCTTGATAGAATTAGCATGGGCTGCCACATTCTTTGTATCAATTAACTGAGAACGAAAACAGTCCGTGACACCGACCAAATGTAAAACCGTTGTTCTTTCCAGGTGAGAGTGGAGCAAACCAAAATCGCTCGGTGCCCTCCCCCCCCCCCCCCGAAAAACACCAAAGGCCGCTGTTGCATTCAGTTGCTTGGTTCTAGGTCTTCAGCCAATGTATGATCAAAGGCTGGAAGCCGGTGGTATCGGCATGCTCGTAGAGTGTCGCAGAGCTTAGCGTTGTTAATTCACACGCTGCTTCACCTTTTCATGCGCGCCTCTCTGCGCTACACATTGTCTACCCCTCTGATGTGTCTGCCCCTTTGGTGCCAATACGCGCGCGTCTGCGACCGTCGCCTGACGTCGCCTTCCCCCCCCCCCCCCCCCCCCCCCATCCGCCTCCGCCGGCAGCACAAGTCACTGTACGCGTCGTCGGACGCACAGCTGCGCCAGGTGCGGCTCGAGATGTGCAACGGCCGCTTCGACAACTGCCTGCGCTGCGTACACGACCCGTACTGCGGCTGGGACAAGACGGCGCACGTGTGCCGGCCCTACACGCCTGGGTGGGTGCGACGCTGCCGGAGCGACGTCAGGCCCGCTGCGTCTGGAGACGGGGAGCTGGCGGCGGCGTCCCCGCGTGGGGAGTGGCGGGCGGGGACCACGGGAGGGGCCTGCATCGGGGGTGGAGGAGGTGGTGTATGCAGAGGGCGCCTCGCTTGGCGTTGAGCCCCGTACACCCGTGTGGTCAGCGTCGTCCCGCTTGTGCCGGTACCTGCGCTGTCGTCCCGCTTGTGCCGGTACCTGTGCTGTCGGCCCGCTTGCGCCGTTACCTGTGCTGTCGTCCCGCTTGTGTCGGTACCTGTGCTGTCGTCCCGCTTGTGCCGGTACCTGAGCTGAGCCCTGTGCCCGTCACCTGTGTTGATCCGTGCTCGTCCTCGCGTACGGTATGGATCCCTTGGCTGTCTTTTTATGCTATCCTCCTGCGTTACCCCTATGGTCTGGCCCTTGTTCTGCCACCTGCGGTGAAGGTTGTTGTCAACAGTGTCCGACGACCTGTCTTGACCCCAGCTTATTTGCGGTATGGACCCCTGCACTGGCTCCTGCACTGATCCCTCGAACTGATTCCCCGCACCGGTCCTTGTACTGACATAAGTGCTGACCTGTGCACTGATGGCTCCTGTGCCGACACTCTGTGCCGACCCTATTTCTGCCCCCTGCACTGACGTCATGCAATGACCTTTAGCCTACATCCCTGCACCGGCCCCCAGAGCGGCCCCCTGTAGGAGCTATTGTTTGGATGCTTTTAGCGACTCTGGCGCTGGCCTCCTGTTGCGACCCGCTGCGCTGGGCCTCTGTCATCACTCTTCTACTGGTCCACGCACTGATCCCTGAACCGATTCCCTACTATCCATCTGGACTACCAACTTCTCCCTCCAACCCCCTGGTGCCTGCGCTGATCGCTGCTGTTCGCTCTTCGCCTCCAGGCTGCTGCAGGACGTGACCAGCTCGGAGCCGGGTCTCTGCGACAGCTCGGTCATGCAGAAGAAGCTGACGGCCACCTGGGGCCAGTCGCTCCACCTGGGCTGCGACGTCAAGCTGCCGCGCGCGCTCGACCAGCGCCAGGTCACGTGGTACCTTTGGACCAAGGAGAGGGGCAGGCACCGGTGAGCGGCCCTTCAGACAGCTGACGACAGACGCGCCGCTCGGAGGCTGGGCAGCGAGCGCCGCTGGGCGACAGATCAAGGCTGAGAGGGCGAGACGCTGGCGCTAAACAACGATGAATCGCTCCTTGGGCGCGGCCTACTTTCATTTGTATGAGAAAGATTCTTGTTCTTGCTCAGGATACGGCGCAATGTTCAAGCAGGCGATTGTTCAGTTGTGATGAAAGAATGACCAAAAATGTCATGGTATCACGGAAGGAATGACAGAAATGCTGGAGATAGCGTGGACATTTCACCGAAGGGCTTTTTTATTACCCTCTGCCACTGATTAAACATTAGGTTGAAACATTGTCATGCTTTTCTAAGTTTGCGATATGCAATGGCACTTCTGGCTAGCTTTCTCCTGTCTACCACGATTTCGAGTCTTATTTTGCGCCCAAATTGGTGTTTAGGCTGCATGACACAGTAGCGCATACCGCGCCCTGTTGCTTGTCCACTGCCGTACGTGCCTCTGGACGTACCGCTTTACCCGCTGAAGTGTTCAGCAGTCCAGACGGGGCCAGGCCTGGACGACGGGCGGGAGGGAGGTCCTTGGCATGGCTTGGTGTCCTCTCTGCAGGAAGTGTCGAACACTCCAGGCGGGGCCAGCCCTGGGTGACGTGCGGGAGGGAGGTCCTTGGCATGGCTCGGTCTCCTGCTTGGTGTCCTCTCTGCAGGAAGCGTCGAGCACTCCAGGCGGGGCCAGCCCTGGACAACGGGCGGGAGGGAGGTCCTTGGCATGGCTTGGTGTCCTCTCTGCAGGAAGTGTCGAACACTCCAGGCGGGGCCAGCCCTGGGTGACGTGCGGGAGGGAGGTTGGCATGGCTCGGTCTCTGCTTGGTGTCCTCTTGCAGGAAGCGTCGAGCACTCCAGGCGGGGCCAGCCCTGGACAACGGGCGAGAGGGAGGTCCTTGGCATGGCTCGGCGTCCTCTCTGCAGGAAGTGTCGAACACTCCAGGCAGAGCCAGCCCTGGGTGACGGGCGGGAGGGAGGTCCTTGGCATGGCTCGGTGTCCTCTCTGCAGGAAGTGTCGAACACTCCAGGCGGGGCTAGCCCTGGGTGACGGGCGGGAGGGAGGTCCTTGGCATGGTTCGGTGTCCTGCTTGGTGTCCTCTCTGCAGGAAGTGTCGAACACTCCAGGCGGGGCCAGCCCTGGACAACGGGCGGGAGGGAGGTCCTTGGCATGGCTCGGTGTCCTCTCGGCAGGAAGTGTCTAGCCGTCCAGGCGGGGCCAGGCCTGGATGACGGGCGGGAGGGAGGTCCTTGACATGGCCTGGCGTCCTCTCGGCAGGAGTTAGGGATGTCTGCGGGGTCTGCTCAGGTCATCCAAGAAACCTGTCATTCGTGTTATCTTAATATTGCACTTTGAAAGCAATATTTATGCCTGTTAGCGTTTACTGAAATCTTAAAGCTTGGTTGCCATCAAGAATGATGTTTTCTAGCTACAATAGCAGTTGGTTTGTGCTAGTCATTGCACGCGCTAGGTTGCGTAGCGTCCAGTGATCGTGGCTTGGAACACTTACCAAGCTGGCGATTCCGTCGCTTCCGCTCTGCTAATTGTGTAAACCGATGCCGTGTCCGTTGGGAATGAACAGCTGCAAGGCTTTGCAAGGATGTTACGTAAACACTAGGGGTTTGCCATAAGCTGCAGCCTAGACTAATGGGTTTTTTGGTCCCCTGTTATATTTACCCGCTGCTGATGCTAGTATCCAGCGTCCATACTTGTGTGAACTGAAAGAGACGAAACTTTTAAACTTTCGGTCCGCAGTCCACGAAAATGGCTTGTAGAAGTTGCCATCATTGTCATGTGAAGTTGTGACAATAATTATTGGTAATGACGCCTGCATGTTTTGTAAGAGAACGTGATAAGCCGGTAATGAATGCAGCTGAAACCTACCAGGTGCATAGTACCCCGTGGGATTTCTCTCGAGGTACAACGGTTGACCACGGTCGGTGGTGTGACAAACACATGCAGAGCGAGAGCGTGCCGTTTTCACTCTCTCCGCCTTCCCATGTCGTATCGTTCCGCCGCGAGCACGCTCGCCCTGACCGCGCCGACCGGTGTCGCCCGGCAGGATCGAGTGGACCCCGGAGAAGTACGTGCGCACCCAGGAGAACGGCCTGGTCGTGCTGACCGTTAAGGAGGAGGACGCCGGCACCTACGAGGCGCAGCTGGGCACCGACCTTCTCTGCAAGTACATCATCACGGTGGACGTGCACCGCTGCTCCGCGCCCGACAAGTCGCAGGTACGGCTCGAGCAGCGCGTCGCTGTCCCAAGTCTCAGGGGCTGGCGGCTCCGGGAGCGCCTCGGATTCAGGCACGATCAGCCTGATGTGCGGCGACCTCGAGCCTTGGTAGCGTTCCGGTTCTAAACAGCGCAGGTCCCAGGTAAGCTCGCGTCCCCAGGCGTGAGCTGGTCCAGGTGTGGCTGTGCTCGTGGCCGGTCTTTCCCTGGTGCGATAGCGTCCTCTAGATGCGGCTCGGCGCCCGCGTAGGCCGCCGACCCCGGAGGCGCGGTCCCAGCAAGAGTGCCGACGAGGTCGCGGCTTTAGCCGACGGGAGGCGGAGTCGTACATCGACGAGCGCTGTCGGCAGCTGCACACTGCATGGCCTAGCTCTGTGGGCAGTGATAGCTCAGATTTCACCCCCTGTTTTCGCTACGGTGCGGTCGTATGTTGACTGGTTGTGCTACCCGTGGGTGAAGGGCTCCAATGTTTGTAGTTACTCTCCTCCGTCCACCGTTTCTGAACATGTTTGCGCCGATGGGCGTTGTGCAAAACATTGACATGATTCCCAAAATTCCGCCAACCACCCTGAAAACGTTCTATTTCTGGAGCTGTAATGAGCCGTACGAAAAAAATCTTACTTTTGGAAGTACTGCACGTTGGCTGAATGACACCAGCTATTAACGATAACGTTAACTCTGTCCCAATCGCATTCGATGTGCATGTATTATTTGTTGGCATGGCCAGGTCTCCACGTTGTACAGCATCTTAACATCGCCCTTGGACTGCCCCCCCCCCTTGGACCTTGGACCTTGGACCTTGGACCGACCTTGGACTGCCCCCCCCCCCCCCCGAGTGCCTCAGAGGTCTTACAGCTGGCTGTTGCTGTATACGTATCACCGGTGCATGCGTGTCTGGAGACGAGGAGACGCTGAGATAGGATGGGCTTTCACGCTCCCCAGGAGCTTTAAAAGCGCGGCGTTAGGCTTCTTAATATGGCAGTTACAGTTATTGTAGTACCAGAATGCTCTGGGATTTCCTTGCACATGACATGAAATTGCCATCCGTGGCTGCCTGATCAGGCATCTGGCGTGATTCGTGCCGGCTGAATATCACTGCTTCGCATCGGCCGTGACTTTTCTTTTAGCTCGTGAAATACTGCGGGCCCGTTTTGCCTCATGTAGCTGATGCCTTCAAGCCTATGAACTCGGCACATGGGCCCTAGTTGTCGGCATCCACTCATGTGCAGTTTGGAATTGAACACGACATTGACCACCTGCATCGCGTTGTGTTCTTCGCAGGACTATCAGAAGATTTACTCGGACTGGTGCAGCGAGTTCGAGAAGTACAAAAACGCCATGAAGAACTGGGAAAAGAAACAAGCGGTACGTCGTGAGCAGCGATCTGTCTCTTTAAGCCATACCCACCAGACGTGGGCTTAGCTATCTTCATCGACAAGGCTGCTCTTGTGAACATGGACTCTATTTCGCGTCAGAACTCGAACGGACCTTTCTCTGTCATGTTTTATTGCTCTTTAACCTCCGAAATGGGCCAATCCTTCCTTTTATAGCACCCATCAACTAGCCTTTATACTGACACTAGATCATGACAAGGGTTCTGATGCCACTTCTTGCCATTTAATTTTAGGTGAGTGACCAGGGCCAGCCGCTCGAAAGATTGCCTGTAATTATTGATGTCCTCCGTCTGCGGCAGGAGCGAGAGCTGATTTCTTGTATTATGACGTTTGGTTGGTGCGGATGGGACATTGCTTATGTAAGATGTAGGAGCGACCGGCAGCTTAGATATAGAACGGCGTACGGTGGAGACTGTGTAGATCATACAGTGTTGGTTACAGCTCGCTTGTGATTCCTTGCATGTGTGTTTTTAACCAGGCCATGGAGGAATGTGACGATAGCAATACGCCGGTTGTCAAAATGATTTGTTGTTTTCAGCAATGTCGCAACCAGAACCGGAGCGCGAGTCCCAACGCTCACCCCAACGAGATCTACCAGAGGTCTCCCTTGATATGAGTGCCTCTGTCACACGATACTGCGAAGCGTTCGTGAACGAATCAAAATGCGACCGATGCGCAGGTCGTCTCAGACCGCGGACTGGACTCCTCTGTGAGCAATAAATTCAATGTCCGTGAATCGGAAAGCTCCCGACCGAATACTCCCGCTCGACGCCCCTTGCTGTGATCAATGCAACTTCGAGTGCGATTGCCGACCGCTAGATGGTGGACATGGACGCGGGCTTGGCACAGCGCCGTGTCGACGAAGGTGTGAGTGTTAAATGGGCGACGTTGTTGCACTGTGGGAGCAGGGAGATCCAGTGGCTCGTGCAAGCGATGGAACTGACCACCGAGCACCCCTGGTATTACGCGCTATCGCGTTGATTCGTGTGCAGAGGTTTTGTATGGTCGCGTTTTTAACTCGATCACGTGCCGAACCGGGATCATTTGCCCTGCATAGCTGATTTTGTTGCGTACATGCTATCAGTATTGTCTTCCATGCTTCGAAATTAGTTTTTGCATCATTGTATTTTGCGACTTGCTGAAGACGGTTTTTCGAGTAGTTTGTTGTGGACCCGCCAGCGTCGTACAATCGCCCGCGCCCAGCTATTCATTCGCTACGCTCCTATCTAGAGTTCGCCGTTCCTTTCGGCATATCACGTGACAACGCCGGCCGGTATGCGTGTTGCAGAGTCTATTGTACATAGCTCCATGTATGGAATGACGTTCTGTACATGAAATGACTTCATAATAATAAATCTCATCCGATTTTTGTACGCTGACGCGTGGTTTCCCGCTGCGTTTACCACGCCGTGCCTGTAACAGATTCTAACGCGTGACGTGCTGTGTGTGAGTAGATGAAACGTATCTAGCAGCCACCGATCCCCGGCTTGACGTCAGCGTTTAGGCGCAGACCGCGTTCACAGCAAGGTGACCCCGAAACGCAGTCACGCCAACAGTATTGCGCCGACGTGCTCCAGACCAGGGTCGAGGCGTATGCTGTCTGCGCAGAACCTCACGAATGCCATCATTCTATTACACGGATCGCTGCTTTGGGCCGGATTCATACAATTACAACATTTGTGTCTGAGTCTCCTGCAGCGCTCAGTCGGAAATCGATCTTCTGATTAAAAACTCGAGCCTCGTTCTCACGCACGCGTTGTCTGAATTGGCATGCTATGCACGGAATCTGCCTCCTTTGTTTTGCAAAGCACATATTGCAAGCGACACATCCTGGGGCAAGACAAGTCGTCATGCAGGCTAACCAAACTGTCGCACGTTGCATACAGCCCCATTACGTTAAGCACATAAGCGCTAAACGCCACGCGGTGCTGCGCCTGAATCACGAGGCAGCTAAACGCATCAACTATTCGATGTCTGATCACAAAACACGGCTACATTGCAAGTAGGTCTTCGATCACTAGTCTCGGTAAACCACCGCGGTGCGCACCGACAGCTCCTGGGAGGCGGTGTCGGGACCGCGAGTCAGCCGCGCGGACGCTGTTCATCTACGGCCCTCCCGAGCGGCGAATACGGCCCTGGGCGCGTCCGCTCTTATCACATAGATCCGCCACTAGATGGTGCTGCCCGCTACGTTTGGCCGTCGTCGACTACGGGCAACATCGGAAAACGGCTCTTAGCACGAGACGACGCTCTGAGCGTGCGGCGAGGCACCGAGACGGGGGTGGGGCTCTAAGGCCCAGACAACCCTCCGAGACAGGGGCGAGGCTCCGGGGCCGAGACAACCCTCCGAGACAGGGGCAAGGCTCCGAGACCGAGACAACCTTCCGAGACGGGGGTAAGGCTCCGAGACCGAGACAACCCTCCGAGACAGGGGCAAGGCTCCGGGGCCGAGACAACCCTCCGAGACAGGGACAAGGCTCCGAGACCGAGGCAACCCTCCGAGACGGGGGTAAGGCTCCGTGACCGAGACAACCCTCCGAGACAGGGCGAGGCTCCGAAGCCCAGACAAGCTTCCGAGACGGGAGCGAGGCTTTGAGACCGAGATAAGCTCCCGCTAGGCTCTGAGACCGAGACCAACCTCAGAGACATGGCTCTGGGACTGAGGCCAGCCTCAGAGACATGGCTCCAAGACAGCATGGTTCCGAGGCTGAGGTCAGCCTCAGAGGCATGGCTCCGGAACCGAAACAAGCCTCAGAGGCATGGTTCCGGGACTGAGGCCAGCCTCAGAGGCATGGTTCCGAGGCTGAGGCCACCCTCAGATGCACGGCTCCCATGCGGAGGCTGGACCCAGGCCGCGTTACTCGGCCACGATCTCGACGCTAGACGCCTTGTCGCTGGCGTGGCAGCAGTGGATGACCCAGCGGGCGCCGGGGTTCTCCTGGTAGCACTCGAGCATCACGGCATCGTGCTCGATGCGCCGCTGGCCTGGGGACAGTGGGACAAGTCGTGGGTATGGGAGCCACCGCGCTGGGGGAGACTTCGGCAAGTGCCAAAATGCCTCTGAATCCCATGCCCGTCTCCCCCCGTCAGATGGGAGATACGTAGTCATTCAGACACGCGTGAAGAGCTCATGTTCCCTGTTGAAAAGCGACGCTGCACAGCACAGAGGAAGAACTGTCCGCGCTATTCTGCGGCCTCATCCGCCACAGCCGAGGCGCCATTGCTTCCTTGCCACTCCCCCTCACCAAACCCAGCAGGGACATGGGACGTTACATACCTATGTTACCACCCTGCTCGTGCAGGAAATGCCGCTGCAGGGCGTCGGCGAGATTGCCAGCCCGTAGACAGGTGGCGCCACCTGTTGACTCCTCATTCGGCCGGCCGCGCGCCTCCCGTCGGCCCTGCACCCGATTGGCCAGGTCCGGCAGCATCAGCACCTGCTGCAGGATCCTGTCGACGTGCAGGCGGCGGCCTCAGTAACTGTGGTTCGGAGGCAGGGCTCTCGCAAGCGGCCGTCAGCGACTGTGGTCCGGAGACAAGGATCTCGCAGCCCCGCCGGCTTCGGTCCTCCGGCAACGAGCTCAGCGATCTGCTTCAGGGAGCATGTGGTCGCCGTCATGTCCACCTGACCATCGCGTCAGACGACTGGCACAGACAAGCTCCATTTGGCGCGACTTTTTAAACTGGCGTCTCGACTCGCGGCCCGCCCTGGTCACGCACCCCACCCTGGCTCCGGGGTCCTCCTGCTCACCTGGTCACTACGTCGCCGGCCGTCGTCTCCGGTGTCAGGACTACGGGCCAGCCGGACTTGGAGAACTGCGGCGCCGTCACGCGGATGGTGCCGTCGTGCGGCTCCACCTCGCTGTCGATCTTCCGCGCGACTGGGGCGTCCTTCTTGCGCAGCAGCTTTTTCATCTGGCGGAAGAAGTTGTGCGTTGATGCTGGTCTAGGGGTGTGAGCAGGTAAACAGATAATGGTGCTGATGGTTGGTTCCACACGCGGCTACTTTTTTCCAGAATGAACTTGACATATGTGTTGGGATTCTGGTTCTTGGAAATGTCGTTTCATTAATCTCATCGATGGACAATTCTGAGCTTATCTAATGCAAGAAAACAACTTGAAGGAAAGCCTACATATTGCGGCATTAAGCAAAACAAGCACTGCCTGCTGCATTCTTGTCTGCACATTCGCATCGCCTGGGGTTTAAAGCCTGTTCAACAAGCCGGCCGAGACGGCACCCTCACCGGGCGGCTCGGCTCCTTGCGGTTCCCCTCCGCCTCGTACTGGCCCCGCAGCTGCCGGACGAAGTCGTCTGGCACCTCCCAGAGGCGGTCGCGGTGCCGGATCAGGTTCCGCACCACGCGGGAGGTCACGGACGCATACTCGATCTGGCGAGACGGGATGCGGCAGGTTGCAGGCGTGGCGCGGGAGTACGTCACAAGTCAAGGTGCTGATGCCCCGTTCCAACCATTCTGTAGAGCTATGTGCGTTATTCTGTCTGCCGACTTATCTTCCTTCCCGCAGCCGACTTATCGAAGGCAGCTTAAACTGTTACGAATCGATGCATGGGCACTATTGCGCATATGAGCTATCAACCTCCAATACAAGACACCTCACACTAGGAATGTCGCGGTGCGCTCTCAGACCAACCCACCTCAACACTGATGTCTTTCTGGCGCCGGTGGGCCGGCCACAGCAGGTTCGGCGCCATGATCATGGCCACGTTCTCCAGCGACATCTTGTTGCTGGCCTCGTGCGCGGCCACGGCCGCCAGGAACTGCAGCAGGCGTCGCAGCACGGCCCTGTTGGGCGCTGGCAGCTGCAGGCACAGCAGCGCCAGCGCCTGCAGCTGCCGGTCGGCCGGCAGCGCGTCCGACCGGTGGAAGGCGTCCATCAGCTCGCGGGTGAGCAGCGGCGCCGGCAGCTCGCGCAGGAACAGCTTGACCAGCGCGGCCACGTCGTTGGCGCCGCTGCGCTGCAGCGCGGCGTCCACGGCGCCCGGCTGGTTGTAGAAGCACTCGTCGACGTCGCGCCGCAGCTGCTCCACCTTCTGCTGGTGGCCGGGCACGCGCAGTAGGCCCTCCTCGCCAAGGCCGCGCCGCTCCAGGTGGGTGAGCACGCGCTCCAGCAGCAGCGACACGCCGCCGGCGCCGTCCGGCTGCCGCTGTCGGTCGCGCTCGAGCAGCGTGGCCAGCGAGCAGCCGAAGACTGCGCTATCGGCGACGCTAGGCCGCGCCCGCAGCCGGCGCCGCCGCGCTTTGCGTCGGCTGTAGCTCAGGCCGTGCTCGTCGAACAGAGCTGTCAGCTCGAGCATCGCCAGCTTCTGCAACCGCTTGACGTCCGGCTCGCTCAGGAAGTCGACGAAGGTGCGGCCGAGCCGGCCCCCCGCCGTTGGCCGCGCCTGGGGACGTGGAGGGATCAGCGAGGTGGCGGCGCGCTGCAGGGAGACGGCTGACACAGCGTCTGCCTCTCCTCTCGGGTGGCGCAGCCGGTCAGTCGGCGGCGCTGTCAGCACGTCTTCAGTCAATCAGTCAGTTAGTTAGGTCAGTGTGCTACGCGAAGCCAGCCAGCCAATTGAGTGAACCGCCGCTTCCGATGCAAGACAAACGTGGCCAGACGCGACAATGATGCCCCGCTAACGTCCAATGAGCCGTAGAATCGTTTTGACGGACATGCCGCCTCCGCTGGCGGCGGCGCTGGCGGCCGCCTGTCCGTCGCTCGGCCCGGCGTCGCTCCCAGCCTGCCGAGCTCGGCTCGACGTCGCTCTCGGCCTGCCGAGCGTCCTCCGAGCCCCGAGCCCGTCGACGCACCTTGTCGCCGGCGCTGCCCTTCCTGGCGTCGGCGCGGGCGCCCGTCTGCGGCCGCGGGATGTGCAGCTCGCCCAGCTCGCCGGCGCGCTCCAGGCGGCGTCGCACGGAGCCGATCGGGTGGAACGACACCGCCTGGATCCCTGCGGCACGGCACGCGGTCAGCGTCGGTTCCGGCCGTCGGTCGGCGTTGGCGGCATCGGAGGCGGCCTCCGTTGGCCCGGTCTGCGGTCAGCGGACCGACTCCGACCGGGCATCGGCTCGGAGGGGAACGACGCTTCCTTGGTGTGGCACATGCGAGCGGGGCTTCGCAGATTGAAAACCACCAGTGAAGATAGGGTCAAAACAGTGAGTACGGGCGCAACAGTCGCGTCCATAGTTAAAGTTCTTGTTAGGCCAATGCATTCTCCACACACAACGGACTTTTGCACCATCAAACGCACGTCATCGGTACTTCCTTTCAAAATGCAAAAAAGGTTGAGTAGGTATCTAAGTCTATGAAATTCATCCACAAAGGACGTGAAGTGGAGAGAATACCAGGACCATACGAGATGACACCTTGTCAGGAGGAGGTAGAGGGAAGCATCTAGTGGGGTTTGGCGTAGGCGTAGGCGAAGACGCGGGTCGTGAGTTTAACCCAGGCGAACGGTCCAGTGCCTGACAGATTGTGGCGTCAATGATCATAGGCATCACATGCGTTGTTCCACATGCCCAAGACAGCTGACCCCGAATATACTACCACAACTCTACACCATTCCAAGTAGGCAACTGTACGAAATAACTGCGATCAGGCCCTGTGCCACATCCTGTCATATGCTGGAAGCCCAAAAGGCTCCAGTGGGTGAAGTCGCCATAATCCGGCCCCCTTATACGCCAATCTCATGAAGCAGGACCCACCAGATAGCGCCACCTACCGGAGGAAGCATCGGCCGGCTCTGAGAACCGGTTCAGCTTATAATTGCCGGAGGTCGTCTCGAAGAGACTGCTGGCCTTGGGTGCGCGGTCGACGGTTTCGTGGCCCTTCCTGCGCAGCTGCACCGGCGGCTCGTCGGCGGCCGCAGGCTCGCGGCTCTCCTGGTCCAGCGGGATTCTCAGCACGTGCCGGTAGTCGGCCGCCCGGCTGCCGGCAGGGGGCGACGTCCGGCGTCAGAGGAGAGAGACGGCGTCAGAGCGCGGCTCAGAGGGGCGACGTCCGGCGTCAGAGGAGAGAGACGGCGTCAGAGCGCGGCTCAGAGGGGCGACGTCCGGCGTCAGAGGAGAGAGACGGCGTCAGAGCGCGGCTCAGAGAGGAGACGTAGGCGTCAGAGCGCGGCTCAGAGAGGAGACGTAGGCGTCAGAGCGCGGCTCAGAGAGGAGACGTAGGCGTCAGAGTGCGGCTCAGAGGAGAGGGCCGACGTCAGAGCGCAGCTCAGTGGGGAGATGCCAGCGTCATAGCGCTGTTCAGTGGGGAGACGCCAGCATCACAGCGCTGCTCAGAGGGGAGACACCAGCGTCAGAACGCTGCTCAGAGGAGAGACGCCAGCGTCAGAGCGCGGCTCAGAAGGGAGACGCCAGCGTCAGAGCACTGCTCAGAGGGGAGATTCCAGCGTCAGAGGGCGGCTCAGAGGGGAGAAACGACGTCAGAGCGCGGTTCAGAGGGAAGGCGCCGACATGAGTGGGGACCGAGGCGCTGTTGGCGGCCGTGTGTGACTGCTGACGGCAGGGCAGCCTGGTTCCACGCTGGGGATTAGCTGAGGTATTGATCAGGTTGTTAGAGCAGATGGGCTGAAGACGGGTCAATGCGCCAATGTTTTGTCAAGTACGACAAACCGGTCCCAGAAACGTGAAAATGTGTATGCGAGGAGAGCTGTTTACAAATGGTGCATTGTTCTGGCCATATGCTCCAGTCATGAGCATAATAGCTTGTCATTGTTGAACCACCTAAAATAATGACGACATGGTAATTACGTAACACAAAGGTTTTTAAATAAGCCCGATTTACAGCGGCGATGAAGTCAATACAAATGTCTTCACTGCTTAGGACGGTGTAGAACGGAGCCACTTAGCCATTGTCAGACCAGGAACACAATTGACCTCCAGGTGTATGAAGACTGCCTGATACGGTTTATCAGCAATGGACATGTTATCGTCCCATCGGCCCACCACACGTCCCAAGGCCGCCGTCTCCCAGCAGCGGCGCGATTCATCTTGGCTAGCATGGCGGCCGATGGGCCTGTGTCAGCTTGGGGGGGGGGCGAGTCGGCCGCGGAGGCACGGACGGGAACAGGTGTTTGGCTGACACTCACCGCTCTGGTGACGAGCTGTTGAGCGGTGCGGTTTCAAGGGACGCGGACGGTTTCAAGGGACGCGGACGGTTTCGAGGGACGCGGACGGTTTTAAGGGACGTGGACGGTTTTAAGGGACGCGGACGGTTTCAAGGGACGCGGACGGTTTCAAGGGACGCGGACGGTTTCAAGGGACCGGACGGTTTCAAGGGACGCGGACGGTTTCAAGGGACGCGGACGGTTTCAAGGGACGCGGACGGTTTCAAGGGACGCGGACGGTTTCAAGGGACGCGGACGCTGTCGTAGGAGGAGGGAGGAATCCGGGGGTCATCAGGTCATAATGTCACATCAGATGCCAGTGGTCACCACATCATCGAATATTTTTGGCACCGACACAGACGCACCTGCACTGTTAACGTCAACCATTCGAAGCAAAACGCACCTGGATTGCTCAAGTCAATGATTGCGCTCAGTCGGAATGAACATCGCCGATTCGCTGAAATGCGTTAGTCAGCTCTACAGCGAAGACTGAGCTCCGTGCCGTGGAGAGTTATTCCACAACACGCCCCCTTCTCAGGCACCGGTGACGCGTGCACTTGCCGCGAATGGTGACGTCATACCTACAATATAGATTCAAACACGATTTGAAAAATAGCCACTGCATATTGTTGTTGAATAACAGCCACTGCAAAATCTTCACACCTTACTTAAATGGATTTATTAGACACTTGGCATCGATGCGTCGAGCAAGAGGTTGCGACTGCATGGCCTGCAAAAACCAGTCCATTTAGAAAAACTAGACTAGAAATAACGTGGATCAACCGCAACTTGTGAAGCACCTTAAATGTCTGGTTACCGAAACCAAAGCACGGCACCCTTAACAAGCCTGTCCATGGGTTAACGATTACGAGCTTCAGCTTTCAAGGAAGTAAAGGTCACGCAAATGCACAATATACCAAGAGGGTCTCTCAAGCTGCTCCCAATGGGGAACAGCTATGATCCCAGCCTAGTGAGCATGAAGTCCATTAAACATGGACAGAAATGACCGCGATGTCTTGTGACATATGGTGACCGCAGCGTGACACAATCCCGCCGACCGCGGCGGTCATGTGGTCGGAGAGACGGCGGCCAATGAAGTCGATTTCACAGATAATTGTCCGCGTGCGGTCATTGTGACACGACTTAATCATTACGGCTGGCAGCTGTCAATTTACAGGGCAGGTGTCCGGGAAAACGGGCATGAGAGGGCAGTGATCTTCTCCAAATTCTTCCGAAATGTCACCTTGACACTCTTTAACCGCTGCCATCTGCCGAAACCCGCCAAGGCTCCTGTCGATCATTTGTCACGACTGGTCGCGCTCGTTCGATATCCATTGCCCCCTCACGCACTCTTCACCAGCTAATGATTATCTTTCAATGTCCACTCATCTGCTTGTGTTCTTTGCTTTGTTTCCTACATGGCTTGCGTTCATACCTTATCGTGCTACTTCACAGGCTTCTCTCTCCTGCTGTGTCTCCTCTCCCCAGCATCTTGTTCCTAATCCCCGTCGTCTAGCCTATATGTCGCTCTTCCCCAGAGGCCACGCATCTCCAAAAACTAGATGAGCGACGTGAGACAGGCGCAGGAGGGAGGCAAGGGCGGCGGGGTGAGTCAGTCTTCCCATGCAGCGCCAGAAAGCTAGCCGATTCCGTCTGCTCCTGCTACCCACTCCTTTGTCCCGTTGCATCCCACGTCTCCTCCTTCCCGTCTCACATATGTCTAACATCATCCCTCCCTCCCTGAGCAGCCCGCCTCTCCCTCTCATCTCTTGTCTCACTCCACCCCTGGGCAGCTCACCTCTCCTTCTCCCCATCGGCGGCCGGCTCCAGCCGATCCAGCGAGCCACGCGAGCTGCTGTGGTAGCCCTGGCTGTGTGGCGAGCCAGCCTGAAGGCGCCAGTACGCTTCGGGCGGCGTCAGCGGCGGCGACAGCGAGTCCAGGCTGTCGGGCGTGGCCGAGCGACTGCGCGAGTCCGTGCTGGTCGCCTCGGAAGGGAACAGGTGGCGCATGTCCGGCCGGCGGCCCTTGTCCTTGCTGCGCCGCCTGTTCAGCGTGTCGCGCAGAGTCGTCACGCGACGATTCACCGCCGCCACCTGGCGGGAGGAGGGCGGGGGGGGGGGGGGGACTGTCAGAGCCGCGCAGCACGGTAGGATACCGTAGGCCTGCCAGGCCCGCCCGCCGACGGGCACCGTTGTGCCACGGAGGAACAGTGCAGACGATGAACGTCATTACCGCCCGCCAAAAAGAGTCACCGTTGATATTAGGGTTAAGAGCTAAAGGGTTGTAGAAGTACGGGGTTCGATATTTCTAGAAGGAAAGAAAGCTACGGTGTAAAGATACTCCCTGATTTTGGTGTAATGAAATTAGACACGTTGCAGCAAGGTTATACCTCTTGACTGACAATAACCAAAGCTATCAAAATTAAGCCCGTCCCAGCAAGCCCTGTACCTTTTGACATAAAATAGCCAAAGCTATCTAAAAACAGCATCCGATCGTGCGGCTCCAATGCTATCATCCGTCCGTGTGTTGGTGGATGTGGGCGCTTAAAGCACTGGGTGCGTGTCGTATCTATTGCTGATGGTGTGACAAAAACATATGTATGTATTTGACAAGCCATTCCGATTTGTGGCCGCTGCCTCGAGTATAACTCTGGGCCGTGCCTGGGACAGTATGGTTAAACAAATCACAGACTACGATCCGACAGGTGGCTCCCCACAATCGCATAAGCGCGCAGTCTGGGAGGTCAGGCTTACATGGTGCTGGGGGAGTGTGCCGAGAATATTCCACTGCTCTGTCACCTCGGAGGCGGGTTCGGACACAGACACGAGCGAGTCGAAGCCGACCTCCTTCAGCCACTCCCACTCCTCCTCACCTTCTGCAACGCGAGGCATGGCGGTGTGAGGAACAGGGATGATGGGAAAGACTGACACTTTTCAGGTTTCAGAACTATCAAAGACGTGCCTTAACACCCGCAAGACACCGTTGATGCAAATTCGGCACTCCACGTAATGCGTGCTAGAATCTGTACCAAATCTGAGACTCCATACGAGGTTTCGTCCGTGCAACTCACTTGGAATCTGTAGTGATACTAAACGGATCGAGAGGCAGCACCTGCAGTACATATTGCAACCCGAATCCAGCATTGCCAGTTTCCAGCCCGGCTCATACACTCTCCCCAGAGTTGAAAACAGACGGCCCCGTTCGGCCGAAGTGTACGCAACACGCAGCGATCAGATCTCTGGTAATGATGCGGGACAATCACCGGCCAGAAACGAGAGCGGAACATCGAAATGCGTCTGGGCACGCCGGGGCGACACGCAACGCCCCGCCTCTCCGCTGAGGAGGTGCCGGTGCCGCCCGGCCAAGGCGCCGGCGCCCAGGAGCGGTGTCTGCCGGGCGGCACACGGCCGAGGTCGGCCCGGCCGCCGGACGCCGCCGAGTCATTGTATCCCAATCAGCATAACGTGTCGCCGTCAGCCGATCTGTCACGCGTTTGAGCGCGCGTGAGGCGGGCCGGCTGAAGTGGCGACGAGCGAGCCAGTGACCGTGTCCCGCGCCCGGATGGGAACCGGTGGAGGCCGACTCAGCGGAGGGAAGGCAGGTCCACTTCGGCGGCGAAAGCTCAGCGCTCAGAGCACGTGGGAACTGGCCCAAGACGTCGCGGGGTGGCGGACCGGGTCCATTGAGACGCGCGAACTGACGGATGGAATGCACAGACGCGCGCGAAGTTTTACTGAGATCATCGATGGCACGCAGTTTGGCTGCTGAGAATGGTCGTTGGCAGCAGGTTTGTCGACACTGTGTTGCTGTTTCGGTTGGACGGGCGGCTCCCGTTGGTTCCGCTGCGCGAAGAGGCGACGTCGTTGACACTGGTAGCGCCGCCGGTAACACAATGTAAACTCGCGTCTCAACAACATGGAGTGGCTCTCGGTTAACATTAGCTCAGTTAAGATCAGCTCAGATAACGCACCCACTGGTCGTGTAACGTTGTTCCACGCACTTAAGACATGGAATAGACATTTTTCTCGTTACCGCTCACTTCACTGCGTAAAGACACGAGCCGTTGGGGTCGGTATAGCACCGCCCCCAGCCACATCAGATTAGCATCTCAATGATAGACAGTATTTCTTTTTTTCTTAACTTTCAATGCATGCGTCGGCTGGCAGCCTGCTCCGCGTGGGAACATTATATTCATGGCTGTCCGATCTTTCCGGTATGTTTTCGACGGCTAGGCCTTCGTACAGCTTATTTCTCGCACATGTTCCAAAAGTGCTTTCCTGCTAAATGGCAAAGCATCCTTCTCCCCTTGCCGTTGCTCGAGTGCTGTGACCGACCCCGGTATCCGACAGGCATACATTTTCGCTGTGGATCGTGAGGAAGGTTGATCACGTCGTGCCTGCAAGCTTCACCAAAATCCTTCAGCCGTCTGCACTGTGTGTCAGGCTAAAAATGCTCGCACATAGAGACAGACAGAAGCGTACTTTAATTCAATGTCGTTGATAGGTCGATTCCTTTGCATAAAAGCTTGCCACATTTACCCGCGCGAGAAATAGGGTTCAATGAGGCCGGCGACTCAAGACTGCCCGTGAACCGAGTCGTAGCTTATTCCCGTTCGTAGCAAACGGGGAACATAGCCGTAGTCCATACACAGCCATACGCAGTCACACATAGTCAACACAGCCAAGGGCCTCTGTTGCCCCGAGAAAAAATCGTGCATTCAGCTCGGTCGTCCGACAAATGTGGATTCATTGATCTCGGTTCCTGGAGATGTTATGCATCATTGCTCCCCAGTATCGACGACTAATCGGTCATGTAAACGGATGTCTGTTGGCGTCAAGATGGGCCTCTGTACTGCTGTACCACACCTGTGCCCCACTACACCGGATTTCTTAGTAAACAGTATCTCAGCACGGCAATGTGTGAGCCAAGGCCAACAGCAAACAGTGCCAGCGATAAGATACGTGCCAACCTAATACGCCGACTTGTTTCGCGCGTCAGCAACTCCCGTTCACGGCATCATAATCAGATCTAGCTGCAAGCCCACGCATTAAACAACTACGCAGGCGGAAATGCACTGTTATCGTGCAGGACAATCATGGCCTCCACGTTTTCATCGTAGTGCGGTGTCTGTTTGGATACTGGCAAGAGATGTTCCGCTTAGTTCGGCCTCATGAGAGCCTGAGTAATGGAGTGGGGCCTCAGAAATATAGGTGTGCGTCATGCGTGTGACGCAGTATTTCGTATACGCTTATCGAAATCAACACTGAATCATACCGCCGTTACAGTAATACTCCTGGTGCGCAAGCCCACGGTCAGACGGGCAGTGTTAAGTTTGGCGGACGCTTGAGACGACGCGTTATGAAACGATCATTACGACTTTCGCCCCGTCCTTGGTATTCTTGATGATGGCAATGTGGTGAGAATAGCGCCAGTGACGAGGATAAAAGCCTGCAGCTTTCCTAGGTCCATCAGCGTCCTGCCTTATTCAGTCCGCGTCAGGCGTCTGTTAACCCACCTGAAAAGTCGGGCAATCCACATTCCCCGCTCCCCGGTCTCTCACCTGCTGTCATCAGTGAGCGTCCAGCTGTTGGCAACCCACATTCCGCGTGACACCGCCGTCAACCCGCGCCAGAGTTCACGCATGGACTGACGGCTCGGTGTCGCGCCCTGTCCCGGTGCTCAGTCAAGCGGCACCCCGCCGCCGCACGTTCTCACTCCGCAGTCCGCTTCCTGTCCCTGCCCCCCCCCCCCCCCCGCCCACCGTGTCCGCCAGCCCTAGCCCGTCGCTAGTAACGTCCCCTCCAACCATGTCTCCGGCTGTGGGCGGCTGGCCGTCCCAGCCCGGCACCTGCCTCGGCTGGCTTCCTACCGCTGCCGCAGACAAACCCGCTCCGTCCGCATGCGATCGTCCACCTCCTCCACCGCAGGCAAGCTGTCTCCGTCCACCTCCTCCGCCGCAGGTAAACCAGCTCTGTCCACCTCCTCCGCCGCAGACAAACTGTCTCCGTCCGCCTCCTCCGCCGCAGGCGAACCAGCTTCGTCCGCCTCCTCCTTCGCAGACAAACCAGCTCGGTCCCCTTCCCCACCGCAGACAAACCGGCTCCGTCTACCTCCTCCGCCGCAGGCAGACCAGCTCCATCTACCTCCTCCGGCGCGGACAAATCCGCCCCGTCCTCCTCCTCCACCGCCACAGCAGCGCGCGTCTCGGAGTAGGACGCATGGCCTCTCGCGCTGAAGCGTACGACACCCGGCGCGTGGCGGCGGTGGCGCGCGCCACAATGGCGCACCCGAGCGCTGGCCGCGCCACCGCACGTCACGCCAGCTAACCCAGATACATATTCAGATGGGTGGCGCTTTGAGGTCATCGTGCGCCACGCACGCGCGCGCTCCATCCCAGACGGCCGGCGGGGCGGAGCGCGGATCAGCCAGCACTCATCATGAGAGCGCGCCGGTCGGGACTGCACCGATCGCGCGTACGCCCCCGGCCAGGGGCGTGGTCAGCGGGGCACGCAGACGCGAAGGGCCGGCCAGCGGGCGTCGTCAGGGGGCCCAGTCGCGCTCCGTTCAGTCGCAGTGTCCCGCGGCAGCGGTGACTCACCGGCATCTGGGGTTGTGACGTCACGCACTTAAATATGCGCCGATCAGAAGGCGGGAGGGAAACAAGTCTAGTATTTTTCGTAACTGAGTCCGACTGGTAAATCGAGATTTGATTTATAGTGTGACTCAAAATCTAGCCATTTTCTTGTATAGCGTGTGCGCGCTTTTAACAAAACGTTTATTTTGGCGTCGAAGCCAATGCTACTGCCCCATAGCCGGTACTGTACGCATGTTTTTCTGACTTCCTCGACCGGATCATCGTATGGGGATTACATAAGATGGTTTATGAGCTGAATGGCACGGGGAAGGGGAGGAGCGTGTCGGTACAGGTCGTTATCATCTACTGACGTAGCACCATTGTGCAAGCTTTACCGGTAACTGGGCAGGTTCTGCTCGGGTGCAACGCCTGAGCGTCACGGTCCAAGGTCAGTTTCCGACTTTAATAGACCATGCGCGCACACACAGCAGCACATCCGGTTTGACACGTCATGCTATTGCTGGTGGTAGGTCTTTTCCTCTGTTATATTGGCTCAGATATTTGGCGTTTGGACCAGGGTAGGTGCGGTCTTCCAGCAGTAAGCGTCATGGTATCCAGTTTTCAAATAGAAACTGCTGCAGCTGTCGTTGGAGTTTCTAATCGCAATGTAGTAGCCTGCGATTATCGTGATGATACTCTGGAATTGCCTCTGACGGTCAGATTTGTTTGTGCCGCGAGCGGCGAAAAAGTCGGGATTGGACGGTGGCGTGACGCCAACGTCGGAAACAGAGAGCTTTCAATCACAGACCGAGGTGAAAGGGAGACGCTGTGCCTTTAGCCGGTGACAGGTTTGAACTATTGTCTTGATACCAGAGGTCACGGATTACCTCGCTCTCACCAAACGCCAGAGACCGCAACGTTTGGAATTTAATGGCGGCATTTCCAACGGCGTTCCCGACTCGCCTTCTGACGACACTGTTTGTCGGGATATGCTGGCTGTAGATGTTGTTTGTTTTGGTGGTTATCAACTCAGCACAGGCCTCGCTTTCGAACTAACCAATTAAACCACTGGCCGAAACCGTAAATCGCTGACTCCACTCTCCCGGCCGCTTCACGCATCACCAGCAGCGCCACCCTCCAGACGGCCTGTGCAGCTCCGCACCCATCAATCGACCAGTCTTGGTTCCGTTTCCCCATTCGCGCGAGCCGGTCCGTCGACCGCACCGGCGGGGACGGCCGGCGGCGCACCTTTCGTGCCCCCGTGCGGGAGGTCTCCCTCGGCAGCAGATGGTGCGAAGGCC